GTCACGTGGCATCATTTGATGTCACCTTTGCGGGTCAAACAATGCATTAAATTTTTACCTTAAGGTAAAATATATATTTTTTAATATCCAGCATTTTCCTTAAAATCCCAAATACTTTAAAATCCAAAAACTCATTCCAAAAGCATATGCATACATTACTTGAGGTTCTAGTCCTCATAATTAAATGTGACCTATTGATTTCAGACAAACACTTTACCCCTCTGACGATTTCTTCAAACCGGTCCCCACAACAACATCGGTATCCCGCGGTGTGAGGATATGTGATTATTGGTGACAGGAGATGAGGAGACATGGTCCGAGATGTGACGACATGTGATTGGCGGCTGGAAATCGTGTGGCGTGGGATGAAGGGGGTGAAATAAGAGAAGGCGACTGTGGCATACGTTATAAATGGGCCCTAAATAAAAAAAGCACAAATATTAAAACACAAATGTTTTACTTGTGTAGTGACAGAGAATCGGTCACTTAACAGCATAGCGCTGGCTGCTGGCAGGGAAGGGGATCTGCAGCTCACAGCAGCCCTGACTGACAGCAGGTCACGTGATCGACCCGAGAGCGATCGAGGGGAAAGCTCACGGAAGGGGCACATCGAGAACCCGCTAGAAGGTTCCAGAAGGGGGGCGGGGCCAGGGGCGGAGCCAGCAGGCTACGCTGGCAGTAGAAGAGGGGCCCCGGGAGGGGAGCTCGGGGCTGTCGTGTGGGGTGGGGGGGGTGGGGGGTGGGGGGGTGGGGGGGTGGGGGGGTGGGGGGGTGGGGGGTGGGGGGGTGGGGGGGTCCCCGTCGTGCTGCTGCTGCTGGAGTCTTCACCGTCTCGGCGTCGCCAGTCAGGCAGTCTGCCAGCCGTGCTGACTGGGAACTTTAGTCACCCAGTGTGAACTGTTAAGGGCGTTTAATAAACAGAGTGCCTCCTACTCTTAGTGTCTCTGAGTCACTTGCATAGTAAAGTAATTTTATTTTTCCATTTGCTATACAGCCAGATTATACGACAAATCGCTAACCTTTAACACCCAGTCGTTCCTAAAAGTTTAAGGCGGTATAGTACTATAGCAATAGAGCAAGTGCAGAATCACTGAACCGGAATTGATAGCTTGAAAGCATTTCGCGCGGGGTCCTTGAACGTGCGGGGCCCGTGGCTACATGTGTAGCTGCTTGTGCTACTGGGATAATCCGGCACTGGGTAAGGGTGCACGTCGGAGGAGGGACTGTAGGAGAGAGCGGGGGGTGAAGGAGGGAGCTGCGTGCTTCGGAGGTGTTGGCCAGGAGAGAGGTCCGCCAGACCCCCGCGACACGCGAATTGGCAATCCGATAACTGTGAACTCATTGGCTACCACATTCTGATGAGCCCCCCCCCCCTCTTCTCCCCCCTCAACTTACTTTTAACTTTTAAGGGATTATATCTTGAATCATTGCCTCACTTGATGCAGCAAATCTGGCTGTGACGGTCCCACCTGATGACGGAGACTTGTGTTGCCTCCGAAACGTCGTGATTTTTATTTTATTTTACTTTTATTAATTTTAATGTTTTACCTACGTGACTTTACCGAAAAAACCTAAGAATATGAATCCTTGCAGTCACGAAAGCTTCAAATCTAGAACTGTGAACTCGTTTATTCAGCCGGGTGGACAGAACTGTGAAAGAATTTAAGAAACTCGCCCCCCCCCCCCCCATCTCTTTTTTTCCCCAACTGCCGCGCCATCAGTTTTAAACGCCTACGTGGCTGTTATTCATCGATGTCCATTGCTTAACCAGTTTTGGTGCCCTTCGGAGGTCCGTCCTTCCCAAATCCAAATGAGTTGTCGCATGAACGCTTAGTGCAAGGTCACTTAAACGTGAATTTTACACCACTTAATTATGCCGCTATGAGCCCCCGTCGACCTGAAACTAGAGTTTGATGACCGGCCATGGCTAACAATGAGTGGTATCTCAACTTGTCTTGTCACAGCGCCTCACCCCCCACCCCGAGCGTGGTGAAGTATGGTGGAATTATGCAAAGGTGCAGGGTGACCCTCATCCAGCAGTTGTGACAAAATGGCAGTACGTGTGATTTTATTACACACTGTAAAAAAAGACGAAGATCCCCCGTACAGCCTGAACAGACTGTTGGAGTAAGTGCTTTCAGCAAGCTCCAATGAAGGCCGCACTATACACCACACTACACACACATACACACATACTTGTGTGTGTGTATGTGTGTATGACTCACGTCTGAATACTGAGCCAGTACTTCTCGGTGCCTGGTTCTCAGTCCCAGAAAAGGAGCGTGATTTATTTGCCGTTATATTTATTATTTCTATATTTTAAAGCCCTTAGCAAAGCGCCCATAACAGGCAGTGACAAAATGAAAAATCTTCACTTTTTACCCAAAGCGGCCCCCAGAGTCGCAAGCGTCTCTCTCTCTCTATTGAGAGATTACGGGACTCCTCACAACATTTAATCAACATGCTCCATTACCCAACCCTCCTGCGTGCACCCAACTAGCAGGGGTCAGTAATTTCCATTTTCACTCTTGGTTGTCCTCCGTCACCCCCTGAGCTGAACCTGACCCAAGTCAAGTGACCCCCCCCCCCCCCCCCCATGCAATCTCGAGACGGTTTTGTGCGCGATGGTCAGTGACCAAGCCCAGATCATCAAACACACACTTGCGCACACAAGATGGCCCTTTTTTTTGCCAAGCAGAGGGAGCGGTGCTAATTTTTCGCTTGTCTGCCCCATGGGATCTCAAAGGGGGGGCTGAATCGGTACCCTTACATGGAGGGGCATTGCTTCCTTGAGCCTGCCCAGTCACAGCGGTGGGCGGGGGGGGGCTAGTGGGGGGGGGGGTGAAGATTTATAGCGATGTATTTCTCTCCGGCGGATCTTAAAGGGACGTCTCGCGCGGAAAACGCCTGATGGCCTCGGCCCAGTCGCTCGCAACGAGCGAGAGAGGAGAGATTGAGAGAGGGCCGTGCGGTGCAGAGCTCTCCCCTAGGTTGTGAAATTTGCACTTAATTCAGCCGCCCTAGATCAGAGAGGTCAAATGAGGCTACGGGGATGTCACGGCGGGAATTTATCTTCGGCGGCGGTAAATGTTGAGGATTTTAGGGATCGGCGTACTGTATATTGGTAGGCCATGCCTGCGAGAGAACAACCGCCGTGGAGATGGAGTGATGAAAATCAGCTCGTGCGCAGGTGCCACGGTGGATTACTACATTGTAGGATTGTGGAAGAGGGTGGCGGTTTTGGGGGAATCCCTTCATCCAGCAGTGGATTGACCATGGCTGATGATGGTGGTGACGATAGGGTTCCATAAAATCCCTTCCGAGGTAACGGATGGCTCGTTTTCCGCGGCGTAACGCTCGAATAGCGATACAAATGTGTGCTCGAATATCATTTACACCGAGTCGTCTCTGCGAGAGTGATCGTGCAGCCGCGTGTTGCAGACAGATCTAATGCGTGAATGCTTTCAACCTTGTTGCCCGCACATCTCGTGTTATGAATATGAGGTCGAAGCGAATTTGTTTGAACAAACGTGGACCGTCGCCGCATTAAAAATGTGCAGTGTTGTTTCGAGTCTCGCTTTAATGGCTCCGACATCTTACCCCGCAACACCCGAGCTCGCTCCGGACACTTAAGACGGCGCTCGGTCCGCTGATGCGTATTGTGTCGTACAACAGGTGACCCTTGTTCCTGCACATAATTGAGCGGCTTCTGTTCATCCAATGTCACTCTATACTGTAGAGTGTCGTCAAGTTGCTCCTAATAGGTAAACAAAACACATTAGCCTTCGGTGCAAACAGATGCCCGTGCGTCAACTGATCATTCGATAAACACCGTGTTATTCTTACATACAGCAATTGTTCGATATCCGCTAATGAGGATGTTCTTACAAACACAACATGTCAGCGTTTGCCTGCGTTATCGTATTCTTGCACGTTTTCAAAAGGCCCTCGACGGTAAGGAGAAGCTCGTAAGTGTGATGGGACGTACACGTTGCACCGTGTGCGTGTTTGTGTGTGTGGCCTTTGTGCAACAATGTTAAGATTGCGTTGTGCTGTTTGTCAGTGTTTGGCATGACCGCACGCGCCTGCGAAAACCCATCGGCTGAAACTTTGATGCCTGCATTTTTTTTTTTTTTTCTTTCCCCGATGCCAACATGAACTTAATTCCCTTTGCTAGCCGGCTTTTTTTTGAGCTACCAAACATTGATACACCAACTAGAAAGACAACTGTATTGTTATGCACAACAATGTGTTGATAGCCGATACCCAATAACCCGTTTCCGTGAGGGTCGTTAGTTTAAAATAAAGGTTGACTTCAGGTCATAGGCTTGAAGGCTTTTGTGCCAAAACCACGTTTGTCATTTTGAATGCGTGGGGTTATTATTTAGTGTAAACGTACGCATTGTGCATTCGCAAGATTTTTTTCTGGGTGATAAAAGTCAAAGTCTCACAAGCAGAATGTCTGGCCTAATTGTTTATTGCCTCTGACCAAATCACCCTCGAGGTGCCCAATTCCCGACGGATCTCAAAAGCTAAGCAGGTTCGAGCCCAGCCAAGCCCTGGATATAGGTGGCGATGAAGGCTTGCCAGGTGTTGTAGGTGTTGGAGCAATGAAGATGGCAGTGCTGGGTGTTACTACCTCAATGTGTGGTGGATGTTCTCTGTGTTCCTCAGCTCCCTGCTGTAACAAGAATAGCAACATCCCAATGCGGAATCATCCTGAAAGAGAATCTTGAGACTTGGCATGGCTTCCCGGAAAAATAATTATTCAATATTTTGATGGCCCCCTTTCTTGCTCGTAACGCGTACACGTGATGTACCAAATGCGTGGACAACCACATGCAAAGCGGCGTGTGGTTATTATCCGTATGCAGCTAGGGCACACAGGGTATTGTGTAGAAACATTTTGTCCAGCGGCAAAACACGAGACCACGATTATTGGAATTCATGGGCTGACGAGGTTCTTCTGTGCTCTGTGCTCTCTGTGTCTGTGTTTGCAGATCAATGTTCGGGTGACCACCCTGGATGCGGAGATGGAATTCTCCATCCTGCACACCATTTACGGCCGGCAGCTCTTCGACCAGGTAACTCGCGGGTGTCTGTTTGTGGACGTGCGGTCTGGAATTGGGAAGGGCGGGAGGTGAGCGGTGGCGCAGTCTGCACGGCAAGGAATGCTTGTCCGCATCGTCTCCTAAGGCTCAAGTGTGGGCTCTGTGCATCTGGTTCGTTGTGTCTGCGTGCGTGCGTGTGCGGTAGAAATTGTTGCATTAATCATTCGCCTTTTTTACCATCAAGTTCATGAAGAATAATAGCAGTGGCCCGCTCGCTGCCCATGCCTCCCAAACCTGGGCCGCCGTAACAGGACGGCCGCGCTCGCGTCCCTGCATGCGCATCGGCGCTTTAGCATCCACGTGCACGTAGCCTGGCACCCGTGCCGTGGTGACATCACTAAGGCCACTCTATAAAAAAAAATGTTTTACCAGGTAAGGCCCATTAAGCTATATAGCTGTTTTTCAGAAGTAACCTGGCTATCACAAATGATAGCTCAACGAAGTGGCTTATCGCGCGGAAATATTTAGCAGCCAAATACTCGAAACGCATGTTGATTCAAAATGTGGAGGGAAAACCCCGGATTGTCCGGAGAAAAATTCACGCGACCACGTGGAGAGAGAGAGACACGCAAACTCCAAACCAATACACTCAACAGGCGTCGGGGTCGGGATCGAAACCACGACCACCCGTACACCAGGCGAGGTAGTTAACATCTCGCCACCGTGGCGCCATTCACTCTCAAATGGCGGCGGTTGTTGTTCTGGTGGCGTCCACATTAACCCCGAAGCCGCTACTACCCTCACAATGCACTCCACCTGCCCCCCCCCCACCGCAACTCCCCACTTCCCCATCTCCTCTCCACCCACCTAAAGGGCATCACCCACATTAACCCTGCAGCAGCAGCAGCAGCTGCAGCTGCTGCTGCTGCTGATGCTGCTGCTGATGGCAGCCGCCGCACTATTTACCTCCTCCTGCCCTTGCCGCCACTTCCCTTGCATTCCGCTGCTCGCCCTTTGCAGCGCACACAACCCATCCCGTCCGCGGCAAGCTCGCGGAACGGAACGATGAGGATCCCCCGGGGTCCATCCGGGCGAGCGGGGGGTTTTATTAGAAATTAATGAATGACGTTCAGAACGGACGTTGTTCGTTGTTGGCGAGAGGCAAGAAAGACGTCCATGTTGTTGGCAGATTTAGGCTTTTTCCGCAAAATTATCGAGTGACGGGAAAATATCATATTTAATTAAAACGTATTGCATTCGCATATTTTGACCAAATCGCCTGGCATGCAACCGATGTCATATGACTTCAGAAGCTAAGCAGGTTTGGAGCCTGGAATAGGTCTTGAATGGGTGACCACCACCGTCCATCACCAGGACCTACCACCCACCCACCTGCACAGCCTCCGCCTCACCCCAATTCACAATCCGCACTGACCAGCGTGGTGAAGTATGGTCAAACAACTCCCCTGACCGACACGGCCTGGCGAGTGATATTAGTGATACGAGGACAACGAAGCGCTCATTCGGCAGCGGGTTGACAAACGCCTGTAAATTATTATTATTATTAGTTGATGATACGCATTGAGGCGACTGTGAACGTGGGTTACTAGATGGTAGGGATGCCACCTGCCCGCAACATTTATTAGGCAATGGGCAGCGCATAATTCGGGTGGAAAGTCCACCCTCCTCCGCACTAATTAGACGAATGAAAGAGCTCGTGAGGAAGTGGTTGACTCGATTGTCCCACGCAATTGCCAGCCAGGATGCGCGTCTCTGCGTCGTCGCCTGAATTTTGTTCAATCCGAGGGCGATAACCCGACAGGAGGGGCAAATCGTTTTGCACTTAACTCTGCGACTCTGGATTACGTCCCCACCCTGACCCCAAACGACCCAGAGGATTGGGCCCCCCCATTTTGCTTCCGCCTTTCGCCTTCCCTCGGCATCGATGGCGGCGGCAGAAGAAGAAGAATGGTGTTGGGAAACTCAGAAGTTGCACCGCGTGAAGCGGTCATGGCGTTCGCCGAAGAATGAAACAAATAGCGACGCTCGCAAATAAATAAAGAAGAACACAAAGACGCACGCACACACGAACGCTTGCTCACAAGTCACGACTTATGAGATTATACCGGTTTGGCTGCAGGCACACCTAGGGCGTGCTTATTCTCAAACAAAGCCCCTTGGAGCCGCTGAGGCCTGCCATCGCCTGCTGTGGCTGGCGTCAAGAATAGCCAACCTCCTAACCCCCCCCCCCACCCCCCCACTGCTGCCCACTCACCCTCCCCTCACGTCCACTCCCAGTCGTGTGCCTCCCAGTTGCCATCTCATGGTCACCGCACCTCACCGCGGCGCACGGAGCTTCCAGGTGCGCTTCTGCTGCCGTCTGGAACTCTCTTCCTTCCGATGTTAGGAAACCACTGGAGCTCTGCACTTTTAAATTATCATCATCATCGTCCTTCCCGCGCACCTCCGATTGGCACGCTTGGCTACGTACGGTGCGAAAGAAGTTCAATGTACACACGTAGCGGTCACAGTTGTCTCTGTGTGTGTCACTGCTGCAGCCAGTCGCTAGAGAGGACCACAGTGCAAGATTAAAGTGTGGCATCTTTGAAAAAATAAAGCCCATTCGAGGCTTCACTTGTAACTTGCTGACGTGACCTGACTATAGACATTTGTGAAAAAGAGCTTCATAACCCATCGGATTCCTCTTCCAGGATAAATAAATATCCTGACTTCTAGCAGCCACGCTACTTGACACGAGCCCAGGGTTGTGTGTACGTGTGTACGTGTGTACGTGCTTGGGGAGTGGTGGTGCCGTGACTCGCATGCTGCGCTACGAACCCGGCAAACCGAGTTCGATTCCCGCTCATGGCCAACGCAAGTGACGATTATCTGAACCGGTTCTGGGCCTCCCCGTCGTCGACTCGACCTCAAATGAGCACCTGGTGCAGTGAGTAAACATTGCCACTCAGCAGACAATCGTGGTCGGGCATGGTGCTGGCAACCAACCCCCTCGTGCTCCGTTGTGGTCTTAATAATAGGTGCTTGCTAACAGCACTTGCCCCAAAAGTTTGTTGTGGCTATACAGGGAATCTTTGCCTACAAGAATAAATTTGCATCATTTTGTGAGCGATTTAATCTATCAGAAGCACGATACATAACAACGCTGCCGCTTGCATAAACGTGTCGGATAAGTAAGCGCATAAATTTACGAATATTTGAAAATCTACTTTATCCGTCCGCTCGTCTATAAATCGCTTAAAGTTTCCCCGTCCCGTGACTCTTGACATTGGCAAAGAAACGAGAAAAGTTTTGCGTTTAATCAACTACTTGGTGAGTCGCATTGGTGCCAAGCCTCTGACGGGCTGACAAGTCCATGAGTAAACATTTGCTTTAAAAAATGACATCGCGTTCTCTCTCCCTGGAACGAGATAACGCCGCCGCCGCCGCCGGATTACAGCAAATCCTGCAGGAGGGCAGTGCCCCGAGATTAAAATGTTCACGAAGTTGTGCATTGTTTAAAGGGCTGACTGAGGTTTTGCCGTAAAGCGGAGTAGATAAAATGAGCAGTTTAACACTTTCGTGACCGATGTTATTCATCACAATGGGTTTTTCGTGTTAGATCGCGTAAATATGAACGCTGTGTCGTTAACCTACTACCACCCAACCGCAGCCAATTAGTAAGGTTTGTCACGTAAACAAAACGTGGCAATTAGTTACTGCTTCAGTACACCGCCGGTGTGCTGGAGAGTAAACCCAGCACAACATTTGCAATGCTGGTTGTAATTACCAGCGTCGTACCCAAATTGTTAATGTTGTGGGTTTACTCTCCAACACACCGCCGGTGTGCTGACGTAGTAACTAATTGGCAGGTTTTATTAACGTGACACATCTTACTAATTGGCTGTGTCGAGTGGTGGAGGGTTAAGGACACATTTATACTTGCGCGATCTAACCCAAAATCCTTTATCGCGAAAATGAGCAGATTGCAATAGCAAATTGATTGTGTACCCTAAGTTCTATTCAATTTCTCTCAAACGATATTAACGTGGCCTATTTATAGTTTTTTTTCACGTTCATTTAGCAAGAATGCCCTTGTATTTATCGGCCGCACGTTCAATTGCATTAGTATCAACTTTCAACACCACGCACCAAAAAAAAAAGAACCGAGTGAGTTCCGTGTCTCTGAAATATTGAAGTTTGCAACGCTTAAGATTTGTTTTTTCGAAAACTACTTAAAAAAAAATTTGTACACAACTATATAAAAAAAAAACACCTGCCCCATAAAATTCGGAGCTGAAATGACAAGCACACCTCCATCCCCAATGGATGCTAGAGTTGCAGCCCTCTGTGGAGGTTTACATCCTGCTAAGGTTTTACGAGCCCGATCCGCCATTGGGAAACACGTGTGGGTAGGATTTTTAATCGACGAGCTACAAAGAAAAAAAAGCCAGGGACATATCGTCGGAAGAACCGGGAGAGTTCAAACATGTAAACACTTTGCATCGAGTGTCGTATCATCCATCACCGTCGGCCGTGATCACTCCACTGCTGGATGAAGGCGATCCTGGAAAAAGCAGGACGGGTGGCAACACCCTGATCTGTGGGAGCAGTGGTGGTGTTTCGATGTAAAGCTTTCGTGACTGCAGGGATTCGTCTTCTTGGTTCTTTCGGTAAAGTCACGTAGAAGGGAAATAATAAAATAATAAAAATAAAACATAATAAAATTTCGATTTCAAGCTTTCGTGACTGCAGGGATTCGTCTTCTTGGTTCTTTCAGTAAAGTCACGTAGAATGGAAATAATAAAATAATAAAAATACAAATAAATTATTGTATTATGTTTTATTTTTTTTATTTTATTATTTCCATTCTACGTGACTTTACCGAAAGAACCAAGACGATGAGTGGTGGTGTTTTTGGCCCAATTCGGGGGCAACCTCGGCCAATATTACGTCTCGTGGGCCCTGCCTTCAATTTACAAACCCCTCCGTGAGATGACGGACAGGATGGAGATGAGAGGTAGGGATGTGGCGACACGAATGTGGACAACCGACGGCGGTGTAAAGCGACGAGCGAAGAGGGGGGTAGGAATGAGACGGGGGATGTTGGTGCAAGGTGAGCGAGATTCCGTGAGATCAGAGGGAAGAGGGCTGCACATCAAATAGAACTGAGAGGGTCGATTTATCTTCTCCGTGTTCATTTTCTCATGTTCAGATCTGAATTAGAGCGAAATGTTTTGGTGCATTCCGATTCAAAAGGTAATTTATCCGGAGGCCCCCTTGAGCCGCCTGGTTTTGCTTCGCCCCTCGTGCCGCCACTGTGCAGGAGCGCTGGGTGTCATCTCAGAGTTGAGGTGCTGACGGGGTCTCCTCTTTGTGCGCACGTGTGTGTGTGTGCGTTTGTGTGCATGTGTGTGTGCACGTGTGTGTGCACGTGTGTGTGTGTGCATGTGTGTGTGTGTGCATGCGTGTGTGTGTGCACGTGTGTGTGCACGTGTGTGTGTGTGCATGTGTGTGTGTGTGCATGTGTGTGTGTGTGCACGTGTGTGTGTGCATGTGTGTGTGTGTGCATGTGTGTGTGTGTGCACGTGTGTGGTCCGCAGTGTGGAGCGGTAGTGTAGTGGTTAGCGCTATGCTGCGCTACGAACCTGGCGACCCGGGTTCGATTCCCGCTCACGGTCAATACCAGTGACGATTATCTGAACCGGTTCTGGGCCTCCCTGAGGAAGACTCGGCCTCAAATGAGAGACAAAGGCGGCCGGGCGTGGTGCTGGTCACCCACCCCCCCCCCTCGTGCGCCGTGCCGGCCTTCACAGGTGCTACTCGCTAACAGCATTTGCCCCAACAGTCTGTCAAGGCTAAACGGGGGATTTTTGTCTTTGTATTCCGCAAGGTCGTGCGCACCATCGGACTCCGCGAGATCTGGTTCTTCGGCCTCCAGTACACGGACCTCAAGGGCTCCATCGGATGGCTCAAGATGGACAAGAAGGTACTGGCACACGTGACATCTCCCAGAAGCCCACGCAGCAGGGCCGCGTTATCTAATTTAAATAATGAAGTGATCGAGTAGCCGGCCGATTTTATCGATCGGATCGCTCGCAAATTAGTTGGGAAAGAGTTGCACCCCTGTTCTCATGTCGCGTGCCGCTTCACAGAAGCCTGAGGACGTCGCCGGCGTCGTCGTGAATTGCATGACGCACGGCATCGCTCGCCTCCTACCTTTGTTGAGGCAGCAAGGTGCATTGTGTGGGACGGCTTCCAAGTAATGGACCACAATTAAACAAAAACGTAATCCATTACAACCGTTAGTCGATTAATCTATGTAATCAACATCACCGTATAATGGTCCCTGCTCTACGACCACAGCCTGCATGGCACACAGACAAATAAACTCACCCACACTTCATTAAGCAGTGTCGTGTGTGCTCACAGCTGCTGCTTGTAATGTTGTTGTTTTTCTCAATTCTCATCTCGGCTGTGTCCAGCGAAGATTTCCCAAGTGAAAATGGTGCTTGTGAGCGCACAAGTCAACCGTAATGTTTGGCCGGTCTTTTGGGTTCGTACAAGGGTGAGAATTTCTAGAGATGACTTCTGCAATGGCCCAGCCCGAGTGTTGGCCAGCATCGTCGCTTTCGAGTTCTCATTCCCTCACTTCGTTGGCGACATCAGCATTCGCCCGTGAAGGCTTTCGCAGCAAGAGGAATAGCCGGTATCGTAAAAGTAATTTATTTTTAAATGTTTGTAAATTATGCCGGCTGCGTTGTCCTCATTAAAATTCCGCCTGTGCCGTCAGCTTCCTGCCATGCGCTGAACAACAATTCTATTTGGAACTCTAGTTGTGCCAGAGTACGGCCCCAGAATATGATGAAACAAAACTTCTTTCTTATCACCACAGCGTTGCTTCCTTATATTCCCTGCAAAAAAACCCATCTTTGTCGCATGGCAATCAAACCATAATTTCGACGTCTCGGAGCTGAAACGTGCCGAATTAAAGTAGAAAAACGAAAATTGGATGTGTTGGACACTGGCGAGACCATCAGCGCGCTACCCTTGTGTGTCCAGTTTAGTCACGGACGGATGAAACCTGAATTCAAACCCCGACGCCAGCAGTGTTGGCAACGTCCTATGACCCATTAGCCACTCTGTCGCTACCTGAGTGTGTTTATTTTAGTGAAACGTGAGTTTGTATTGAGCGGTTAAACTGGTATGCCCTCATTTGCCTTCAAGATACTACCGGCTAGCAGCTGTTGCTACGGAGATTGCACAAATATGTTTTGCTTGGGAAGAAGCTGAAATATGATGGTCGTTTCGGCGCATACAAGTGGGTCCGAGTGACCGTGCATTTCCCTCCCAGGTGAACTTGAGAGACAAAGAGTTTCCAAAATGTATAGCTCTATTGACGTGTAAATAATATGGGCATTGTGAGGCTCGGAGTACGATTTCTTCAGCTGCAGTGGCGTTAAACCATGCACTCATGGAACAAATGCAGTTCAAAGCCATGCCACTGTTCACGATGAAATTAGATTTTTTTTTTTGGTCTGCATTAATTTTCTTATCCAGTAATTATCTCAAACATGCCTTTGTTCTGGCGCCTCTGTGTACTGTACGGGAAGCGTGGTATCAATAATAAATGATGGCATCCCCGAACTGCCAAATATACTTATTTAAGCTTGTTACGTGGTCACAGTCCACCAGCCAGTGACAACAACACAGGGATCCTGGAAGAAACATCCCATCACTCTCAGCTCAGTCACCACCAATGACTGCACACACACAAACAAACAAATGACCCATTGTTATTCAATTTGGTTGGGCACAATTTGGCTCCATCACAGCTGTGGTAATGTAACATTACATAGGGTTTGATTGTCAGGCAGAGTGTTTTAGAAAGTGTGTGTTAAAGATACGCAGGCGACGAAGATGCTCTGTCAAATATTTGTTGTGCAGTCAATCACGGACACGTGGGGGTAGGATATTTTTCAAAATTGGATTTTTTTTCGTGTCGGTGACTCAACGCTGATAGAGCACCAGGAATAGTGTTGAGGAGAAGAGAAAAAAAAATCCCCCAAATATATAGACGCAAAATAAAATGTGGACGAGCCGAACAGTGTGATAAATTATTTTTTTAATATTTTCTGAAGATTGAAAATATTGGATGTCACGCGATGCTCTGCTGGCTTTGAAATCCACTCGGGAATTATTCTCATGACATGCTTGATTGGCATTGTAATTCGTAAAGAAGTCCAGAGACACGTATAATAAAAAGAAGAGGCAGTCGCCTGGAAGAAAAAAAAAACTCCATTAACGAATCTGTTTAGTTCTCTCGTTGTGGAGCGCTGTTCTCCCATTATAGCAACAACAACAAAGCAATCGAAACTCCTCATTTTTTTAAGATGGCCATTAAGAACCACATTAAGGAGATGATACTCATTTAGGAGGCATACTTATTTTTAAAAGCCCTCGCTGCATTCCGTAAGCAACGGCTACACGAATCCTCCGATTGGCTATTAGGGAGCGCCAATTAGCCTGACAGCACCGTGCCGTTGCTGTACTCTCCGCTGTGCCTCTTTAAAAGACCCAGGTGTGTTACGGTGCGCGCAAAACGGCCGCGTGGTGTTCGGAGCGGGAGGCCGTCATCCGGGGGGCGCCTCCCTGGGTCGTTCGCATTTCTCAGGGGGCAGTTGGGGCCTGTCGGGGAGTGAGCCCGGACCCCTCACTCCGCACGGTTAGCTGCTTCGCCGGAGAATATCGCGTGTCACCACGACACAGTCTGTTGAACGCTCGTTGGACACAATCCGAGCTCTGTGCAGCAGGAGAGTGACACTGAATAGCTCTGCAGGGGGTGATCTGGCATCACGGGCTGCGTGGTATCTAGCCGGCTGCTCTTCCTCGCTTAATGCCCTCCCTGTGAACTCCTGAGGGTAACGCCAAAAGTTTCAGGGCATCTTGCTTTGATGTTGGTGAAAAGGTGAAGATTAAGGGGCACCCCTGTAATTGCTTGTTCACGCCACTGCTGGCGGAAGAGGCCCTCGCACTCGTTGCACACAAAGTGTTCGCCACAAATTAACCACGATCTCACCTCGGAGCATAAACCATCACGCAAACTTTGGTCACCCTCGCAGCAGCGGCATTTGTGGCTGGCCGTCGAAGAAAGACGGTCACCACATCGCACGCTTTCAGATGCACTTCTGCGGCCGTCTGGAACGCTCTTCCTTCACATATTAGGAAGCCACTGAAGCTATGCACTTTTAAATAATCTGGATTGAAAACTCACTTCTTTAGAACTGATTTTTGTGTTTAGTCTGTTGTCCTTCCCTCCCGCACCTCCAATTAGAACGGTTGGCTACGGACGGTACGAAAGAAGTTCAGCATACATAGCAAACAGGAGAGAACACTTTCTCGAGCTAAATCTTTTCCTACTCTGCCACATGAGACCTGTCGATAGTCAAGAGGTGGTGGTGGGCGAGTTATTACTGCTGAGTGGAGAGAGGTGGGGGTATTTTAGAAACTGGCGCCATTATTTCAATTGCTGTGCCCAGATATTGAACCGGTGACCTGGATTGCAAGTCCGGCTTGCTAACCATGACATTCCAGCAGCATCCATCGCCTTTGAAATTGATGAGGCCTTATAATAACACTGCTAGGCAGTAGTTCATTATTGTTTCTGAGGATAACATTTAATATTCTATAACTTTATCAACAACATAAAATGAAAAGTCCCGTGTGAGGGGGAAAAAGTCAGTGTTGTAAATTGCAATTTGTACTCATGTCTGATACACTTTTGGTATTTAAAGTTCACAAACATAAAATAGATAAAGACTTTGAGGCACATATTAACCTGATAAACTTTTCTAGGAGTGTAAATAATTCCTGAACACACAGCTACCAGCACTCAAAGATGCTAAAATATTTAGACTGGAAATGTATTTAACTTTGTGTTAATTTTAAAAATATTTTTTGTCAGTTTCATGAGGGGAAATATTGTTATTCCATCCTAGTGAGCTCCATTTCACATAAATCCCACGTAGTCGTTTTGGTTATTTTTTTCACCTCTTAAATGTCAAAAGAAAAGGTCTTGGGTGTGAGATTATTTTAAAATGGCGGTGACAGCTGTCTCATTCTGAAACAACAGTATTGCCTCGTGCGATACTCGCAGCAAACTGCGTGCTCTTCCATGAAATATGTGCTTGCCATCTGCACTTACCCTTCACATTGTCTTGGGCTATTTTATTTATGAAATGTCCCCATTGGGGAAACAATTCGGCGAACAGACTCGTGTAAGCTCACAGGTCTTACTCGACTCAGTCCTTTAAAAAAAATATGTAACAAATGGGAACTCTTCCCCATGGACGTTCACTAAGTGCATTTTAGAAAACGGGGAAAAAAATAATTCGATGTTGAAGCCAGAGAAGTAATCTTTAACACGAATGCACATTCCCATTTGTCAGAGATCACCAAAGTGCATCGCGTTAGTTTGCCGGCTCAGCAGGAAAATCCGAGGCTTGTCTCGAGTAGCAATGTTTCATTTTCTAAAACTACTCTCTTTCAAAAAGAGATTATTATGGACAGTTGTGAAAAAAATACTGCAAGGCCCCGTTGTGGAAGTGAAGCGTCTCTTTGATGTCACCTGTTAATCTATCAAAGGCCGGCTCTGAGCCTTGGCAAAACCAAGGTAACTTAGACAAAATACAAACCACGCATGCTGCTACTGCTGTGATAATTCTACAAGTCACTGGAATATATATTTATTACCAAACCAGAAATATCTAGCTTCAACATCGTCGTGCTCCAATGGGTCAGTGCACCGGACTTGCAATCCAGAGGTGGTGACCAGTTTGATTTTATCTCCTGCCATGGCAGTTTAAACATTTGAGCCTGTTGCATTGAGAACCACCCCCTGCATCTCACACCATCTGCGCACCCAGCAGTACGCCAAAGTCATGGGTGGTGGGGTTAAAGTGTGGCACAATAGCCCAAAAACACCTTCTCGAGGTGCTGTCGGGTCGGTGCTCTGCCTAGTGAAGGCCCTTCTGCCAGCAGTGGCATTAGCAAGGTATTTTAGGGCTGCACCTTTATCTTTTACCATACGCAAACGTTTGAAGAAAACAAAATATGACAATCAACTAAGGCAGATGTAACATCTAAATACGGATTGCAGCACTGTACACACTGTCCTGCCGTAGGAGGAGCTAATACTTGGCCTTAAGGTATTTATTTGAAATCTGGTGCTTGTGACCTAACTGCATTCCGCTAAAATATGTCGCAGAACTGCATGTTTAGAATGTTTTCTAACCCAAGTTTATTGCCGTGCAAAGATGCTTAACGATCTTCTGACTATGACAGATGTTGAAAACAGCCTCGGGCTTCTGCTGTCTCAGCACACGTTTTAGCTGTGGTTGCTCCACACAATAGCAGCAGTGCGGCCTACATCAGGATATTGTTCCTGGGTTTCTGCGCTGTACAAAGGAACTTGCCTATAGAGGCATGAGTAGCCAAGCACATTGATCCTGCGTGAATGGCTCGACCCCGAGGGATCCATTTGACATGGAGGGTAATCGGTGGGCAGTAGAGGCCACAGTAGAGGTTTTTTGGGGGGTTAGATCGCATCAATATAAATGTGTCTTTAAACCCACAACCACCCGACACGGCCAATTGGTAAGGGTTGTCACACAAACAAAACAGGCCAATTTGTTACTAGTACGGCACACTGGTGTGTTGGAGAGTAAACACATAATATTTACAAAATGTTCTGCACTTCTATACACCCATGTCAATGTGCCACACCTTTCCCAATCAATGCCACTGACCAGCATGGTGAAGTATGGTTAAATATCACCCACAACCCCACCCCACCCCCACCCTGTGTGGTGTGGGGAAGACCCTACTCCGCCAGCGGATGAAGCAAAGGGCAGTTCTGTGTGTTATTCAATAACGTTTACAAAAATAAACATTACAAGTCGGTTGTTGTAGTTAGAAAATAAAAAGTCGTATTTTTCGCTTCGGCATCGGCACATTTTTTGTCGTTGCGTCGGTGTGGGTTGCAAAATCCTCTTACGGGGTCGTCACCAGTTGGAGGGTGTGGTACCCCGAGGTATGTTGCCCCGAGGTATGCTGCAAGGGTTGGTGGATGTGGTCCAAAGGCCGCCCGTTTTGTGTTTTGTCTCTTCACGTACGTCGTGAAAAGGAATGCGCCATCGTCACCGTCCCAGCGTCGGCACGTCCCAGTGCATCCGACGCTCTGATATTTTACGAGCGTTTTGAAACGCAACTAAAATTTTTTTATTTTGCCAGGTAAGTGCCCGCTGAGCTATATGGCTCTTTTTCAGAAACGACCTGGCTGTCACAAATGATAGCTCAAGGAAGTGGCTTATCACGAGGACATTTATAGGAGCCGAATACCCTAAACGCTCGTATCTCCCATATAGGGACAGGCACTCAGCCCAACTGTGCTCATATTTTTCTTGAGTTCAGGCCACTCTCAACAACACTAATATGCGGAGAGAACGTACGGATAAATCATTTAAATGTTTCCCTCTTTTTCAGCCAGTAGAGGAGCTGATGACTCTACAAAGTCTATTTTCAAGTAGCATTTATAATGAACAATAATGTGCATTGTTCTTTATAATAAAACTAGAACACCCAGAAATAACCCATGTGTACAGATACCTGCACATTGATATGTCGTAGAAATCCACACGGAGGAATCTAGAGCCTACTTGGTGTACTAACAGGTGGCGGCTGTTCCAAGGGCCTACTATTGCACCGTGAAACTCTACTTTACAGTCCTAACAACGATGCCAAAGTTAATAAGCCACTTTCACGATTATACGAATGATTGATAATTACCAAACAACTTTACATTGTCTGAATAATCCTGGAACTGGCCACATGCACTTCCACTCCTGGCCACCGGATTAGTTCTCCCCCCCCCCCCCGTCTCCACGGGCACATTCGAGCCTTGTCAAGACAGGAACCTCGCAGTATTTTGCCGAGCCGGGAACCGAACCAAAGCGCGAAACTCTGGCCTCACAGGACGCGTGTGAATGTGGCTCGGAGGGGCCAAGCGGGGCCAGGCGTGGAATAGGAATGCCTTTTTAATGTCGGCGGCTCTAGATTGTTTCTCACACTGCAGAACGTGCCATCGCCACCATCCCGGCGTGGATGACCGAGTACATCCGATGGCGCCTTCTGCAGTAGGAAAAAACAATCTAGAGCCAACATCCCGATCTGCGCCGGGCCGGCACAGCACGGGTCCCGGGCACGGCTCGGTTGCGCGGTGGAAAAAGAAAGGTGATGAGAGGGTGCCCACCTGGCCTGACGAAGCCGGCTCATTTCTCACCCCCCCCCGCCCCAACCTCCCCTCCAAGGTCTCCTCGCACGACATCCGCAAGGAGAACCCGGTGCAGTTCCGCTTTCGCGCCAAGTACTTCCCGGAGGACGTGTCCGAGGAGCTGATCCAGGAGGCCACGCAGCGACTCTTCTACCTGCAAATCAAGGAGGGCATCCTCTCGGAGGAGATCTACTGCCCGCCCGAGACCGGCGTGCTGCTCGCCTCCTACGCCGTGCAGGCCAAGTACGGCGACTACAGCAAGGAGAAGAACCCGCCAGGGTACCTGGCCAATGAGAAGCTGCTGCCCTCACGGTGAGAGAGCGTTTTGTTGTCAGTCTGTTTGTGTGTGTTTGTGAGCGTGTCAGTGGATTGTGTGTGTGTGCGGTAGTTGGGGAAGCGGTGGTGTAGCGGTTCGGCACGCTGCGCTACAAAGCCGGCGACCCGGGTTCGATTCCCACTCGCAGCCAACACCGGTGACGGATACCTGAGCCGGTTCTGGGCCTCCCCTAGGTCGATTTCAGCCTTACACGAGTATCTGGCACGGTGTGTAAAGAGCAGCACAGCCTATGTTGATGACACGGGGATTTTTGCCTTTGTTCTACATCTGCCTATTACCTCGCCAACCGTGCTAAACGGAGGTGCGGGGAAGGACAACGCGGAATATTTGCCCACGTGACAACTTGATTTTATTGGCTCTGTCGGACGGTAGAGGGTTATAGTTAAATAAAAAAAATGACATACCTACACCATCTAGCCCAAAATAAACTATGAAGCATAGTATTGGTTGTGAAAGCCCGTGTAAGATTAAGGTCATTGGAACAAAGGGTGTCAAATATAAGCACACGATGCTAATGGTAGAGTAACAACAACAGCAACAACAGCAACAAGGGTGACGAGTGAGACCCGTTGAAGGTAGGCTACGAACGCTGTCAATTTAACATTTTACATGGTGGTCAGTCTACAGCTTGCGTGGGGTGAATTGTGGGTGCTCTCACATCTTCCAAGATGTCTGGCCAATGTGGAAGAGTAGGCCAAATTCTCTCTATAGGGGCTCTCCCTAGAGATCCCTGTAATGTAGCTGTGTCCCTTCTGCCAGCAACAGCACGAGCAGTAATTATTAGGGCTGCCCGTTTGCCATTCACGTGCCAAACTTGTGGAGCGCACTGTGGGTCGTAGGATGACAACGGCAATGTCATGCGCAGGCTATCTACATGATCGCGCTTCTATTTCAATGTGCTGACACGACAGACTATGTTGATGGCGTAATAATTGCCAAGGGACTATGCCGTTCAATTAGACTGGCGTTGTCGTCCACAGGAAGGCACGCATTTCCGAGACATAATCCGGTTTATGTGCAAAGTAATTACGCTCTCTGTCGCCTTCGCGGTTACAACCCAGAGTGGGTGGGTGGGTGGGCGGGGGCGGGTCGGTGGGGTGGCTGGGATTTTTTAATGAAAGGTTCCGTCATACGACCGCTTGCCGCTCTCGCAGGCAAAACCGGGCCACGCGGCCGCCGTGAATTTGTGGGGCGAGGCGGCGCCGGCGGCAGTCACTTGAACGCGGTCGCGCCATGCGGTAGCCCGTTTGTGCTTTTTTGTGCTCCTGTCGTAAAACGAGCAAATCGAGTGCAACGCTCAGCCGTTGGCGCCGCTCTTAAAACGCTGTTGCATAAAATGTGAACTCTGGCTTGGAGCGCGGGTGCCGGGACTCTGGGCCCGTTTCTGGGCGCGTTCCCCTGTTCCCTTTAAACCTCGCAGCGATGAACGCCGAGGCTTGCAGTAGTAGCAAGCCCACGCTGCTAACACGGCACCGCGCTGACCGATTTACAAGACGAATGCAGTGGGGCTCTGTAAGTGAAACGATAATTATCGTTTAATACTTCACCTATACGTACCACTTATAAGTGGTGCGTGTAGGTGAAGTATTAAACTTCAGATTTTGTTTTTAAAATGATCGTTTCTTTTATTTTAAATTTGGCTTTCACATAAGCCACCCAATAATTTTTTTTTAACCGCCGAGTGTATCACGGAATTGTTTTAGCTGTCGCGGCTATTAAAAGGAGTGCCCGCAACTTCAACGGCATAGTTGGCGTGTATAATTGCACGTGCTCGTGTCTTCGCTGTGAGTGAGGATTGTGTTACTTGTGCGTGCATCCCATTGTGGAATTGAATCGCAACACCTGCCATGCAGACCCCCACATTCAGTATGCGTACAGCAATTTGGCTGGCTTACACGATATGTTCTTCATGCAGAATTGATGTCATGCTGTAATGTAACCTTGGAAAGATTGACAATTGCTGCTTTGCACGGTTGTGTTATTGTATTTAATTGAATGATGTGCCCCAATTAAGACGTCCGTTTGGTTTGGCGAGGCTCTGAAAAGCTAACGCGTATGCATTACAATGATTAAAATGCGAAATTATGTTTGGCATAGAAAAATGTATATACGTATTACAAAAAAAACCTAATTAATATAATCTTCTGTCGCTACACTACAGGGGCTTAGCAATCGAGCGCAATGGCGATTGCAATGCTGCTCCGTCACCGACGCTGCCCCACGGCGGCCTCGTGGTCAGATCACTGGACTTGCCATCCAGAGGTTGCCGGTTAGATTCTAGCTCCCGGCACGGCAGTTTAAAACAACGATGCGAGTTTCTTAAATTACCTCTGTCCACCCAACGGTGTTTACACGGGTATGTTTACACGGGTCTGCCCGCAGTTAGTCGGTCGACTGGTCGCGTGTGGCCGGATAAAATGTGGGTACTCCCACCCATTCCATGGCTTCTGACCAGCGTGAAAGAGTAGGCCAAAATACCCTCTAGACGGGCCGTCTAGACCTGCCTCCAAGTGGGAGGCACCTTCCGCTAGCAGTTGCGTGAGCCACCAATTTTCCATGCCAGGGATTGAGCAAGCAGGAAATATCTTTGCCACGAGAAGCCAAATTTTACTTTCAAATCGGACATCTGGAAAGTGTCACGCAAATAAGCGGCAGACGGGTTAGCGCATTTGACCTCCTGTCGTGCCATCCAGATTCCTGCCGAAATCCCACGTCGCTTGTCCAAATGCCGCAGGTGTTAGATTTGCGTGGAGGGTTTTCTTTCAGGAGAATTGAACCGATTTATGTCACGTCTCTTCCTGTTCACGTGAGATGCTCTGTCGCATTACCGCTGACCCGCTTGCGTACGTTTCGTTTACGGAGAACGTATATAATCATTTACGGCGGGACGTGCATGTGTTTTGGCTAACCGCTACACCGGCCGCTAAAAACGCACCAATCCGAATTTCATGCCCGCCCACCGGGCTAACATCTGCGGTGAACGTCTCAACCAGTCCCGGGCCACCTTTAGGTTGACTCGACCTTAAAAAATGAGTACCTGGTTTGGTGTGGGAGAAAAGAAACCACCCCCCAAACTGAGGAGATGAAGGTAACCGGGCATGAGCGCTGGCCACACTCGCACCCTTGCGATGTGCTGTGCCAACCTTCGTAGGGGTGCTCACTGACAACACTCATTGGGTGGGCTACGTGGGGGGAGGCGGGGGGGGGGCACTTGGTCTCTTCTTTGCGTGTGACAAACATTCCTCTATTGAGCGAGCGGAGCCATTTCATTTTTTAGTGCGGCATTTTCCGTTTGCGCCTCCGTTTTGAAAGGTCAGGGGTGCACCCTTTTTTGCGTCACCTCGCACAACGCCTCCAGGTGGTGACCATGGTAAGTAGCCATGACAGTCGAGCGGCATTGTCACACCCGGATTGAAGGTCGCGTAGAAGCGCGGGACGGTGGCTCACCGTTCCAACAATATATGGGCAGCATGAAACGATACGTCCCGAACGTTGAATAAGCGCTGTGCGCAGCGCAAAAAGCCGCTTGCGATTGTTGCAGCGTGAATCGGCCCCTCCGCATTACTCCAAAACGGCAGCGTGGCACCGTCTTGGAACGTTACCTTGTTAGCGCTAACATCCTACAATGTTGATCCCACTCACTGGCACGCGGGTTCCAATGTCTAAAAGCGTGCAATGCAATGTGCTCGTTTGCGTGTGTGTGTGTGTGCGTGTGTGTGTGTGCGCGTGTGCGCGTGAGTGTGTATTGCGTATGTGTGTGTGCGCACGTGTGTGCGTGTGCGCGGGGAGGTTTTAATAACTAAACCTTTTTCTTTCTCCTTCCCCCAACTCTTTGAATGTGCAGTGTGTTGGAGCAGCACAAGCTATCAAATGCCCAGTGGGAGGAGAGGATACAAGCGTGGCATTCGGAGCACAATGGGATGTTGCGGTAAGAGAATCGTTCCGCTGCGTGCGCGTCGGGGACCGTGATGGAAAGCTGCGGCATCGTTGGTTTGCGCCCCAGACCCAAGTTCAATTCCCACTCACCGTCAACACCAGTGGCGAACATCTGAGGCCCTCTCCAATGAGTACTTGGCGCGCTGTATAAACGCTAGCACTGGGAGACGAAGGTAGCCGGGCATGGTGATGGCCACACGATATATCCATTTTCTAAGCTGGTCTTAATCAGTGCTTCATAATTAAATGTTTTTGGGTGAGATCGCATTATTATAAATGTGTAGCAACCCTCCACCACCCGACACGGCCAATCAGTAAAAAATGTGTCACGTTAACAAAACGCCAACTCGGTGCTTATTTACCACATTGTTATTACAGTTCTTTGTCAATCTACTGCTGGATGAAGGCCTCGTCCATACCATGTAGGGCCATGCCATGTAGACCATGACGGTTGTTTGACGACACTTCAATGCACCATGAACCCCGGTGACCCTGAGTTCTGTTCCCGGCCACAAGCTAAGATCTAGCGGTGAGTGACATCTAAACTGATCCTCGACACCTGCCCTCAGACAATCCACGCTACCCAGCGTGGTGAAGTATGGTCAAGCGACTCTCATAACCACATTACATTCATCCACCCATCCATTGGCGAATTGTGACAATGGGCTCTAAACTCGGAAGGAGTTATTGGAACGTGACCAGAAGCGGCCGCTACGAGGGGTGACGTGCACGATCCAAACGTACTGACACAGAACGCGTTTATCCGTTAATAATGTTTTCATAATTCGTGTTCTTGATGGAGCGCCTCGGAGCGCTTTACACGGACACGCGATAGGCGACTTGCATCACATCTCAACACATTTGAAAGGGCACCCCCAGTGGCAGATGTCCCGGTGTGGCGCAAGGTGACGTGGCACTTGGCCCTACAAGCGCTCGTTCCTTAGTCTGCCAGTCGGGGGCGATGGTTGCTATGTGGTTTAGCCTAGGGTCACCCCCAGTGGCAGCTGTCCCTAAGGCACAAGGTGACGCCACACCTGGCTTGCAAGCGGGCCAGTAAGGGGCCGATGATTGCTGTTATGTTTAATCCCAATTGATTATATTTGTTCTGTCAAACATGCGCAGATGAATGAACGTGCATACTGTGCAATGTGGCTGGAAATATAAATATGGATGACAACAAGATGGGGGGGGGGAGGGGTTGGAGGTGGGGGGGGGTCCTTCCAAGCCTTTTATTTAAACGAGCAAGACGACATCTGAGACTAGAGCAAGGAGATTGTAGTCATCGTCCGTCCCAGGAAATGTGCTGGCTTCGTTCGTGGCCTGGGCTCAGAGAGCCGGCCCTGCGTTTTCACGGCGGAGGCTGCCGTGCCAATCCCGGACGCGGGGAGCGGCCTTGGTGAGGCGGCTCGCTCGGCTCCTTCAAAGTGCGGGAGCCATGCGCTTCACCCTGGGTCAACCGCCAAACCAGTTGTGAGGTCACGGGGTCAACGCAGAAACGGGATGCGCGCCTTCCAATGACGCCGCTTGATCAAGCGTGCGAGGGATTGCGTGAGTGCACAAATTCTATTTTTTATTTTATTTTTTATACACCATGGGGAATTTGCTCAAATAATAGTGAAGTAGCCCGACCTAAATTTCGATGTAAAGCTTTCGTGATTGCAGGGATTCATCTTCTTGGTTCTTTCGGTAAAGTCACGTAGAATGGAAATAATAAAATAATAAAAAATAAAACAATCAAATAATTCTCACGACGTTTCGGCCACAACGCAAGCAGCCGTCCTCAGGTGAAGAACAGGTCTGTCGATAAGAGAGCGTCTGAATGACACGTCCTGGGCTTGGAGCGTCTATTTAAGCTGGGAGGGAGGAGGAAGAGCTTCTTGACAAAATAATTTGCATATCAAGAGGAATTTTAGCATATTTATGTAATATTACACTATGTATTATTCTACCCACCCTACTGCACACCACACTGCTGCATATTCACCATACAACTACGAATCTTAACATATTTAGGGGAAATGCAGATATGCGACTAGTACTACTTGTGATTACCTAATCAAATGTGGGTTCATAGCACAGTCGCTCCGTCAATACGTTCACATTCAAATCTGCATGGAAACCTGACCCAAGACAATTTTCTCACTGCTCAATCACCAGTCCTGCTCCGCCGTGCCACTTTCCCGCAAGGCTCATATCTCTAGCCTCAGGCGTTGACCGCTGTAGTACGACGGCGATACGGTTTGATAATTTAAAAGTGAGATTATGGAGGTGACTGTGGTGGTGGCGATGGGGTCAGAGCGTTGAGCCGGCACGGCTGAGAATTGAATCCCGGGTGTGTGTGTGGGCAGCTTTCAGCAGCTCCTAATTCTAACTGGGCTCTCCAGTGCAAGCTCCCGGACCAGTCACACCAACGGCTTGCACAATAAAAACCATCAATGCATTTGCTTTTGCACTTTAATACCTTGGAGGATAAAAATAACTCATTTGGTTTCAATGTTATGCACAAAAAAAGCTATCTCTTATGGGGAAGCTGCAACACCAACTGTGTGAGGGATTCTAGATTTGAAGCTTTCGTGACTGCAAGGATTCATACTCTTAGGTTTTTTTTCGGTAAAGTCACGTAGGTAAAAAATAAAAATAAAATAATAAAAATAATAGATATATTATTTTTATCTCTATTATTTCTATTATTTTTTTTTTACGTGACTTTACCGAAAAAAAAAACTAAGAGTATGTGTGAGGGATGAAGATGTCGCTCCAAGGAATCTTTTTTGAGGCGAAGTCCCGCGAAAAACGCCTTCCACGGCCGTCATCTGATGCACGGGTTTCAAGTTGGTGATGAGGTACAGAGATGAGGATACGGCACTTCCCATTAGCACGGTGGGCTACGTACGGCGCGAAAGAAGTTCCACGTGCAGTGGCAGCAGCTTTAATTTGCGAGAGCGACGTGAGCCGTTAGTGTGCCGGTAGGGGGCGATGTTTGCTGCCGCGTGTGTGCAAGTTAGTCTGACCGCCGAGTGATTTGCGGTGCGACTTTCGGATGGGGCAACGTTGGAACCCTGACGCCCGCCTACTCCAGCCCGTGGCGTCGGTGGATCTTTCGAGTCCGCCGTGAGGCAGACGGTGTGCTGAGTGGTCGCAGGATCTTTATGGCTATTGCACGCACAGCGGTCGCCATCGGGGTGACCGAGCCACTCCGCCGCCAATCGCTCTGCGAGATTCCGAATGGATTTCTTCATCTTACGACACAACGCCCATCGTATGATAATAACACATTGGCAAATAAACCAATATAACATATCCATTATTTATAAATGTGTCGTAACCCTCCACCACCCGACACGACCAATCAGTAAAAAAGTGTCACGTTGACAAAAGACAAATAGTTCACTGGCGAATTGCCCGATGATGCTGGATGCAATTACCAGCGAAACGTCGTACTCAAAAATTTTAATGTTGTGGTTTCACGCTTCAACACACCGGTGGGCTAAAGCAGTGAACTATTTGTCTTTTGTCAACGTGACACTTTTTTACTGATTGGCCGTGTCGGGTGGTAGAGTGTTACGACACATTTATAAATAACGCGATCTAACCCAAAAACCCAATAACGTTGATTATGAATAACATATCCATGCGAAGTAAATCGCACTTTGTGTCATTTATCTGGTGACGAGCATTGTCCACAACGACACCCAATGATCATTTGTTTGTGACAACAAAGGAAGGTTGTGCATCTCATCTGAAGCGCATCTGAAGGTGCACACGTACGTACAGAATGCACTTGCACGCCCTCAGATGTACAATCACAATATCATCACACACGCACACGAGAGATCGTGTGCGTGTGTGATGATACCGCATACGTGCAGAATGCACTCGCACGCCCTCAGATGTACAATCACACACGCACATACGATAGATCGTGTGGTTTGGTGGGAAGCTGAGCACAAGCCTTTGGCCTTGAATAAAATAGAAACACAACCCCTCCGTGGTATTTCTAAAGGGAGTGAACTTTTCATTACGACCGTGCACAGAACATTAGTCAAGGGGGCACTGGAGTGAAATGGTTAACGCGTTGTGGTGTCCATTTGTGTTTTGGGTTGATGTTCCATTACATGACTTGTCTGTTTTTTTGCGGAGGCGGTCTTCAATTGATAATTTATTACGCCGGTGTGCGTTCATCCACTAGGTGTTAAAGTTTGTGTGTGTCTGGCCATATATGTGTGTGCTGTATATATTTGTGGGGAGCAGGTGGGGGCAGTGGTTGGCCCGATGCGCTACGAATCATCAACTCCAAGTTTAATTCCCAGCCACAGCTGTCACCAGTGAGGAGTGATGTTAAGAGTAATTCTGGACAATTCTCTAACAAAATAAACGATCGGACAATGTGCATCCTTCCCATTATTTTACTTAAATGCCACCTTCCCATATATGATCCCTGCACGTACCATATTTTAAAATTATTTTTTAACGCATCTCATCAGCCACACACACGGCTGTCCCCGAGAACATAGCTTCAGCAGCAACACGAGCAAACCCTGGACCGTCTTCAGCGTTCATTGCTTCACCAGCAAAGCCAGACCATCGCTACGTTGAATCGGCCTTACATGTTCGCCTGGCGCTGCATTTGCACGTAAGCACTGGGGAGGCGACAACGGTGGCCGGGTGCGTTGGTGTGTACAACAACCACCCGTGGCCGTAAGAGGTGTTCGTTTTAGCGGTATTTATTTATTTATTTACCCCCACGGTTTGTTAAAGATGACTACTTGTGGGTGGACTTTGTCTTGTTTTTGTTCGTGTAAACCGCGTGCCAACCCAAAACGCATTGCTACAATCCACGTGAATATATTTAATGTGGTTATTATTATTCGGATTGTTAACACTTGATGCCAAGGACGGGTTGAACTGGAGCCAAGAAATACTGCTGCTGCTGCCTGCACTTTTGCATTGCTCCTCCCTGTTTTGATAACAATTGGGGAGCCTTGGCATAAGTGCTTATTATTGCACTGTGCCTTATGAAATACGGCTACCTGAGTTAGATTGCCAGCCATGGCTGGCATCGGTGCGTATCTCAAACAAATTCACGGCCCGCTATTTCACGAACTATCAATGACCAGCCCGGTGAAGTATGGTCAAACAACCCCCCTTTGACTGACACAGTCTGGGGAAGACATTCGTCCAGCAGTAGCTTGATTGAGGGCTGTGAAATGTGAATTATGATATCGCCTGCTCTGCATCAACCGAAACTGAAATGCGTAGATCCTCACGAACGCGACCTAAAGTTTGTGGCTAGGTGTTGTAATTTTCAATTTGAGGCGTTACAAAGTGAAGGGACACTTTGTTTTTGCTGGGAGCGTCGTTGTCCCAATTAACGGCTGAAGCTTTAATCTTAGCCTGGTTTCGTTTCGCTTGTGCTGTGGGCATGCTTTTCCAGAACCGCATCACCCGCTCAACAAATTAAAATACATATTTTTTCCATCCAATCGCCATTATTTGCCGTTTAGCAAATGCATTACGTTAGATCGATTGGCAAATACTTCAAAGCTCTAACCGATACGCATTAAAGAAGAATTTGCACGTTAATACAACGGGGATGGATAAGTACAAATATAACTGCACGGGAATTAAATTAAATCCATTACCGTTGCGCAGAGATGAGAGCCGTGGGTTTGAGCTGTTTAAACCTTCCCCTTTGCAATAAGATACTTTATTAAACGGCCTTTCTGATTCTCCCAGCAGACATGCAAATGCCCCATTATGCGGGAAGCCACCAGTGATGCCGACGGTCCCTTGTAGTGTATTTTATTTGGTTTTCAAATGAGAGTATTACCACCCCTCGCGCGGGGAGAGAGGAGAGTGCTTGCGTGAAGAATGCACGGAATACATTTTCTTATTTTAACCCCCCCCCCACGCCCACTGCCTTACCCCACCATCCTGGCATCGTAGCGCATGCTTCCAATTCGGTGCTTTGGAATTGGTGGTGGGGGGTGGTTGGTGGCTCACACAGGGATCGTTTTGTGTTTGAGACTCCCCACTTTGCTGGGCCTAACGATGATGTTTATAGTATTTGGCTGCTATAAAATATCCACGCGATGAGCCGCTTCATCGAGCTTTCATGTGTGGCGAGGTCGCTTCTGAGAGAGAGCTACCTAACTCAGTGGGCCTTAACCTGTTCGGATAATTATAACTAGCGCCGCAGAGATTGCAGCGCCAATAACATCGTGAGCGCCGTCTCTTCGCCCGCTGCACGAGTCTCGCTCCACTTGATCCCGGTTTCCTCCCCCCGTGCAATCTACTCGCTAAGCGAGCGATCACACGACCGGTTTGTTGCAGAGGTTCGTGGTTGAAGCTCAGAGGCGGCCCTGGTTAATGCTGCGGGGGTATTAACCGGCAAACACCACGCGCTGTCTGCTTCACAGTGGACACAATGGGGGCCATCCCGTGACGTTATTTGAAAAAAGAAGATGAAGCCATGTGTTGGTCCCAGCATCACTTTCTGACTTTATCAAGTTCAAAAATGACGCACGCAAATTGCCCAATTGGGTAAAGCCACAGAGCAACACCATCATAGTTGATGATGATGACGACCTGATGTTTGTCTCTTATTGTTATGTTTTTCACTCGCGTTTGTATTTGAGGAGTGAGACAGAGGACATAATCACACAAACAAATATTCCTTGTATATCTTTAGACCAAAGGTCAGGACACATACGTTTAATTAACGTTAGTTAACACTGGCACTAAAACATTTAAATTGTTAATTTAAGTTTTTTTAAAATTCTAATATAATCAATATCTGTTTTTCTTTTTCCTTTTAAAATCACATTTGAAAATGGAAAGAAAATGACTCAAGACGAACGAGTTAAATTAGTTTTTAAAAATCTTAACTTAATTGCAAAAGATAATTTCTATTTGCGGAAATGTTAATGGAAGTCAGTTTAAACATTTGTTAAAATAAATGAAAAACCCTGTTTGATTTCTTACAATAAATATAAGAACTCCTGTACAATAACCCGACGTGTCCTGACTTTCGGGCCACGCTGTCCAAGCGCCCGATATGAGGCTGGCACGGCACGCGAGAGCGTAGCAAGCGCCGTGCCTCCGGTGCCTCCCCAGTGTTGCCCAGTCCGCGATGGCGCAGCGATTCACTGGGTCGTGCCCTCGGTGTCTTGCAGAGAGGACGCCATCATGGAGTACATGAAGATTGCTCAGGACCTGGAGATGTACGGGGTCAACTACTTTGACATCAAGAACAAGAAGGGCACCGACCTTCAGCTGGGCGTCGACGCGCTCGGCCTCAACATCTACGAGAAGAACGACAAGTACGACCCCCGCGCTCCCCCTGCTTGCTAAGGGGGACAGTTTCGTTCGGCCCGTTTGGCGATCCACCGCGGCCGTACGGGGAACTCCCGCGTGTCGGGCCGATTAATTAATAATCGTGTGAAAAATATCTCTTCTTGGTTCTTTCGGTAAAGTCATGTAGAAGGGAAGTAATAAAATAATAAAACATAATACAATAATTCTCACGAAGTTTCGGCCACAACGCAAGCAGCCGTCCTCAGGTGAAGACCAGGTCTGTCGGGGAGACAGCGTCTTTACCGAAAGAGCCAAGAAGATGAATCCCTGCAGTCACGAAAGCTTTAAATCGAAATTTAACGTGTGAAAATAATTATAAAGTCGGTTTTATACAGCGTAATTCGCGCAAAGGCCTTCAAAGCGCTTGACACGAAACTTAAGGTTACGGAAAAAGCCTGTTGTAAAAACAGGCGAGATTTAAGACAACGACACATTTATACTTACGTGATCGAACCCGAGTAAAAACCCCGGTATTTTGGATTTATGATGCGGTTTAAAAATTGAAACAGACTCGGGTTCCCTCGTGTACTGAGGAGGAAGGGAATGCCACGTCCGTGGGGCCTGGCTTCACTTCTTCAGCTGGGTCTGTCCCGGGTCTCCGGACCCATAAAGCTACTTCTACACCCGGCACACCACGCCCAGTATACCCGCAGCTACGACTGTGGCTACCAATCGTGTGCCCGCTCCAGCCTACTGCCATGCCAGTGCTATCCACAGCAGCAATCAGCTGCCAGTGATATGAGGGGCAATGACGTCCAAGTGGTTAGTGCACCGCGCTGTCAGCTGCCTCAAGTTCGGTCCCCAGCCATGGCTAACACGGTGACCGAGAGTGACCCCATGAAATGGGTTCTGGCACGCCCCGCTCACCAGACCCATCACCGCCCCCTTCGCCACAACCCGCACGACACCAGAGCGTTGAAGCATTGGTCGAAACGACCCTCTGGAGTGCACTCAGAGATAATGCCCTCGGTGTGATCTCTCCACACGCGACTGCCTCCGCGGCTCCGTTCCGTACATTCACGAGGCATCCTGTCCGGGCTTTGCAGTGAGCCGGTACGCGTGTCGGTGTGTGCAGGTTGATTGTCGTAAAAAATTCACGAGCGGATGGAGAGCGCTAATTAGGGGTGCGTGAAAATGACAATCAGCGGTGCGCGCGTGCAGTATTCATCATGGGCTGCTGGGTATTCAGCATGACCTGGCGGGATATAGTGCTGCGCAACATGAAGAGGCATATATTTTGTATTCAACATGTTCTATGTTTATTGGCACACCGAATCATTAAATAATTTGCAACCAGACAGTAGTTTGAGCTAGGACGATGGAAGTGCAGTGCGCACGCACTTGGCCAGCGGTGTGAAGGCGGTGTAACTGCACCGGAGCCCACTGCCCCCAGGTGGGAGGGATACAAATAGTAGGGCGGGGATGGAGGAGGTGGGAGTGGGCCCCGGTTTGGTGGGGGGGGGCATTTAATTCCTTGTACCAGGGCCCTACACCAACCGTGCCGTGCCAGTGCCACTGGGCAGCGCGAAGGATTTATCGCGCGAGGTTCATTCCTCCAACCCTCCGGCGTGTCCGCCGGCGCGTTGGCTACGCGCGTCGAGACCGGAAGAGGGTCCCTCGCGTTCGTCAGCAACCGGGACTGCGGCTGATTCCCCAACGCCTTGCGGTTTCTTCCAGTGCTTCTGCTGCACGCTGTTGAAGATCGCTGACGTTGTTTGCGGTTCACACAAACGTTTCGCGTGCATAAGGGAAATGTTGCCGAAGTTTGAAGTTGCTCAGTTCAAACTCGGTCGAATTGTAGTTTGTTCAATATTGGACGATACCTTTTTTATGGACAACCCTGGACTATATATAGGGGTGCCACAGTGGTGAGATGTTCACTACCTCGCCTGGTAGGATCGATCCTAACCCTGACACCTGTATATTTGGGGTGTGCGTGTTCTCTCTCTAGTCACGTGGATTTTTTTCTTCGGGTCCTCCAGTTTTCCCCTCCACTTTTAGAATCGACATCACGCATTCAGAGTATTTAGCTGCTATAGATTTCCACGTGATAAGCCACTTCGTTGAGCTCTCATTTGTGGCCAGGTCGCTTCTGAAAACGAACTGCATAGCTCAGTGGGCCTTACCTGGTAAAAAATTAGTGGATATATTTGTGTGCGTCTGCTTCAGTTCCCTTCCGGCTTTGTTTCAAGACACTGGGGTCTCTCCAGCTCTGCCCATCTTGCGCCAGCTGTGCGGCTTCCTTGGAACTAATTTTCTTCAAACTCAAGACGCACGTTGTGTGCCGGGCCCCACGTGACTTTTTTTTCATATCGTTGTTTCAAGAAACTTACTGTTATTTGTGCTCAAATTCTAAACGTTTTATTTGTTGCCTCCCTTATGAAGTTCACATTTCTAATAACGTCCACATTTCCAGCAAGCGGTGTATGTCGCGGAGTGACACGTTGTTATTTGAGCAAGGTCTTCCGACCGCAGAGGGTGATTGCTCCTTGTTACTGGTAAGCTTCAGCTTTATCTGATCTTGCACACAGGCTGACTCCCAAGATCGGCTTTCCGTGGAGTGAGATCCGCAACATCTCCTTCACGGATAAGAAGTTCTGCATCAGACCCATCGACAAGAAGGCCCCGGTGAGTTTCCCTCTCAAGCCTCCTGATCTGCCACTTACACGGCTTGTTGACTTGACAGATTTAATGACTAAGTCAATTCTGTGTGTATATATATATATTTGTGGGGAGCGGTGGTGAAGTGGTTAGAGCACTGCTCTATGAACCCGGCGACCTGAGTTCGATTACTGCTCATGGCCAACATTGGTGACAATTATCGCTTACCTGAACCAGTCCTGGGCCTCCCCTAGGTTGACTCAGCCTAAAATGAGTACCTGGTATGGTGTGTAAACATCGCCACTAAAGGCGGCCGGGCGTGGTGTTGGCCACCCACCCCCTCGTGTGCCGTGCCGGCCTTCATAAGTGCTTGTTAACAGCACTTGCCCCAACAGTCTGCTAAGGCTGTACTGGGGGATTGTTGTCTTTATATATGTAAAGCCATATATTTACTGAAGTGGGAAGAGCCAGCAAGGTGACTCGGCAATAGAGCGAGAAGCAACTTACGATCGTAAGGTTGCGAGTTCAGATCCTAGTTGGGGGTTGACTCGGCCCATAATTCCTCTGGGGTCGATACAATGAGTACCTGTACCACTTGTTTTGGAAAGTCAACAGTGGGTATTCTATAGAGAGACTCCATCCACACTTTGGGAATGTGGAATTTCCACCGCCGTGTTTAGGGCTGTAGACAGGCAATGAGTACCACCACCTTCTTCTTGGTTCTTTCGGTAAAGTCTTTACCGAAAGAACCAATAAGATGAATCCCTGCAGTCACGAAAGCTTTAAATCGAAATTTATACCACCACCTTGATGCTCATTTGATGAAGAAAATCACTTTCAAGACCATTTTCATTCTAATCAATACTAAACCATTCACCCTGAATCTACCTATTCTCTTCTGGTCTCAGAAGCTAAGCAGCACAAGTGTCTGGTTTGTAGGTGGATGAGCGGTTACTTGGGAAATCTGGATTCTGGAATCTATCTGTGTGGAGCTTTGGTGGGTTTTCTCTGCTTTCCCAGTTTTCCTCCCACATGGCACCAAACTCTCAATCCTGGCATTGAGCAAAGGCCTCGTTTCAGGATCCTACTGAAATGTTTGAGACTGATTGAGGCTTTTATGGATAAATATGTGGCACAATTACCATTATTATTTTTCTGCCCATTGTTGTAATTAGTAATTTCTACAATGTCACTTTGAGAGTGCTGCTTTCGGCTCATTAGAGCAGGGAGACTTTTTTTAATTTTAATTTAGCAATTGCTCCAATTTTAAAATAGCCCATTAAAAGCTCGTGCAAATGGCACCAAATTAAAGGGATAAAAGTCGCCACGGGTTTGGAAATATAATTTCACTGAAGCATTTGGCGACGCAGCGTTGTAGATATTATCAGCAAGTGGAGATTGAGAGGAACGAGGCAAGTGCAGGAAGGAGGAGGGCAGATTATTGAGACATCCGTTGGAGTGACACTCGGGGAGGGGGTCGAGCAAAGGGAAGACACAAAGCTGGATGGTTAGATGCTGTGAGAACGGACCATGAAGGTCGGGTATAAACTACTAAAACATTTTTTATTTTACCAGATAAGGCCCACTGAGGGATATAGAATTTTTTTCAGAAGCGACTGGGCCACAAATGATAGCCCAATGAACTGGGCCTATCACGTATAAATTCATAGCAGCCTGGTAAAAATTTTAATAGTTTATAGTTTTTTAAATAAATGTTTTAAATATTGGCATGAGGGAATTATGCTCGTCACAACTGACCCCTATTTGACGGAACAGTTGCGAGCACATTGAGACCCAAACCGAGGACGGACGCATGTTGAAGATGGTCGCGTCAGCCCGTGCGCACAGCGTCGGTGATGCTCGTGGTGTACTGACCGTGCCCCCCCCCCCACTCCGCGCAGGACTTTGTGTTCTACTCGCCGCGTCTGCAGACCAACAAGCGCATCCTGGCGCTGTGCATGGGCAACCACGAGCTGTACATGCGGCGGCGGCAGCCCGACTCCATCGAGGTGCAGCAGATGAGGGCGCAGGCCAAAGAGGAGAAGCACGTGAAGCTGCAGGAGAGGTGCGTGCGCCCTGCGCAATCGAAACTCGGTCCGCCGTGTTGCCACGGAGTTTTGTGAGGCCACTCTGGAAGGGGTCGGGGGTACCGCCGGTGTCAATAAAGTTGTCCAAATCTGGTGGCCCGCGCGCACGGACACACGCGCGTGCCCGCACGCCTACCGGATTATGAGTGCATCATGATCCAGAGAATGTGGTGGATGATGGAGGAGGGGGGGGGAGGATGCAGGGTTGACGAAAGAAGGGAAAAGGTTCCATTGGCGAAGGTTCACCCCCTGCATAGGACCGGCTGCACTTCAGGCTTCATGATAAGAAACTTCATTTGTCAGCGAGTCGGTCTGTTAGTCACGTGCTTGCTTCGGTAATTTTCATAGCACAGAGTCCAGCAAGGGCTCTTTTTTTATAATTGAAAGGAATCGTGGACTCGCGGTATTTGATGATCATCATAATGATGATTCACAATCTGACGTTATACCTAGGTCACAAAAACCTTGGCAAAACAATGTCACCGTCTTGAGCTTTTCCGGTTTAAACCGTTTCTAGACTCCCTTTTAATTCTCCTGATTTTTAAGTTGAGAGTTGGGAATAATTTTGTAAAATGAAGACAATGTAGGGCCCACGATTATTGGAGGAGGAACTAAACTGTAAGATTGTAGAGGAATTAAGGCCCTTAAATGTTTGGGGACAAATATATTGAACTTTACTTTTTTTCTTCTTGGTTCTTTCGGTAAAGTCACGTAGAATGGAAATAATAAAATAATAAAAATGAAACATAATAAAATAATTCTCACGACGTTTCTTATTATGTTTCATTTTTATTATTTTATTATTTCCATTCTACGTGACTTTACCGAAAGAACCAAGAAGATGAATCCCTGCAGTCATGAAAGCTTTAAATCGGAACTTTACTTTGTTTGTTTTTTGAACCAAGGGGTTAGAACTTTTTTTTTTACTCGGATGCTTTCTGGGTTGCCGAATCCAAAAATTCCGGCGTCATCACACTTTTAAGACTCCAGTTTTTCAGGCGCTCGTTGCAAGAGTGTGACTTCGAAGCCAATGGAAAGCGGGCAAAGCCCAGCGCTCGTTAGGAGCATGAGCGCACAACAGGACGTGAACTTTGGAATGACACCCAGAGGTTGTGACCACGTCCATGTGATCAGTATGCCCCCTGTCTGCAGAACTAATGTCTCTAGCAAACAATACATCAACTTTACTTTTAGCCCTAACCTGCTGTCTGTTTTTTTAACCTTGGCCTATTTAAATACGTTGTTATTGTAATTATTAACGATCTGTTTTTTTACATTGAAGGTTAAGTGTAACTTTTAATTGGGGTGGTGAGGCATCATGTCAGCTAGTGTACTTGGCAGATTTGGAAAGGTGCATCTATGGGTTAATTTTTGCCAGTTTCAAAATTACGAAAAAATATAAGAATAGGCTTTACCCTTTCTGGCAATAAAACGCCGAATAAATACCTTTTTTCAAGGCATCAATTCTGCATTAACCACACATATTTGTGGCAAAAACATTAGCCTACATCTCGTAACGTCTCTCTCCGTCGTGCCTTCCGAACGTTGCCACGTGTTGTTCGGCACGATGTCCGACGTTTCGCAGCACAGTGCCGAGAGTTTCTCGAAGAAGCTTCCAGCACGCCGTTGTTTTTACACAAACAACGACAACAACAACCAAACAACAACAACAACGTGGGAGTGTCGAGCCGATCGGTAGCATCAACAGCGGCCATCAATCCGATGTAATCGAGGGATGAAGTGAGCGGCTCATTTCGCCTTCCGAAGGAGCACGTGGCGCGAAGCGGCGAGCGGTGCGCATGCGCGGTACCGACCTGGAGAGGCATCGGTAGACAGCTGCAGAGCAGCACAACGGCCAAAACCTCCACAGAGGTTGTGTCGTGTAACATCAAATGTAACACGAGGTCGTTTTTTGCTTCTAAGTCCATATCCCATCATTAAAAACAATTGCTCGCGAAACAGCAACACATTAATAACCGCGTTCAATACTGAGGCTTCCCTTTTTGAGGGACAATGGGCCTTAATAGCCTCCCAGCCGGGTAAATGAAAGTGCAATTGAATTATAAACTGCTACGTGTTGAGACGAGACAGATGGTCAGGCATATTTTTTAACAGACTCTAATTCGATTACAACTCTTTGCCTGCTGGTTCAGTGCGAGAGTTCCAGACTTACGATCAGAAGGCGGCGAGTGCGAGTTCACATGCCAGCCGAGGGTCAGATCAGGCCACCATTCATCTAGGATGATTAAATTGGGTGCCGCTTTTAAGGAAGTCAAGAGCTGTTCGAAAACGAGGAGACCGGGTTCATGGTCTGAGGTCGCCATGTGGCTCAGAGCTCAGGAGCAGCCCAACCTAATCAAATGCGGGTTCATAGCACAGTCGTGCGGTCAATACGTTCACATTCAAAGCTGCATGGAAACCTGACCCAAGACGATATTCTCACTGCTCAATCACCAGTCTTTCTCCGCCGTGCCACTTTCCCGCAAGGCTCATCTCTCTAGCCTCAAGCATTGACCGGTGTAGTACGACGGCGATGCGGTTTGATAATTTTAAAAGTGAGATTATGGAGGGTGATTGTGGCACGGCTGATAATCTTTGGGTGTGTGGGGAGCTTCCAGCAGCTCCAGATTTAAACTGGGCTCTCAGGTGTGGAGAGTTGAAGGTCCTCAGACGAGTCACACCAACGACTGCAAAGGGAAAAAAACGGGTGTGATTTATTTTTTCACTTGGTATGAATGCTCGCAGAGTGTGCATAGAGAGAGATCAGCGATTGTCACATGACAGTCGAGCCGTTATTCTTACTTCCCAGGGTTAGAAGTTCGGTGTGTGTTTCGTGCTGTTAATGGTGACCATTATTTCACTACACTCAAAAACCTGAATCAATAACGGGGCAGTGGAAACCTGGATTCAAACCCAGTTCAGGCTCCGCGCTCTGACCACTTGGCCGCTTTTGCCACACCTGACGGCTTCGCACGGATGATGATTATTATTATTTTACGAGCGGTGTAAATGTGTCGACCCGCATCCTGGCGCCGCAGGGCTTTCCTGGAGAACGAGAAGAAGAAGCGCGAGAATGCCGAGGTGGAGCGGCAGCAGTCGGAGAGGGAGAAGCGGGAGCTCATGGTTCGCCTGCAGCACGTGGAGGAGCAGACACGCATCGCCCAGAAAGGTGACGGGGGAGCGCTCGACGCGGGGTTGTTGTTGTGTGCACAACAACAACCGCCATTCACCACTAAGTGGCGGTGACGCCAGTTATACACGTGAGTAACTTGCGTGCACTTTGAGGCCACGTGAAATGTCGAACGCCCGCCGGTGGGAGGTCACGAGGCTGACTGAGATCACCAGCACATGCACACGCGCTCCTTACTTACGCCGCACGCGCAAAGACAAAGATCCCCCGTGTAGTTCTTAGCAGACTGTTGGGGCAAGCGCTGTTAGCGATCGCCTACGAAGGCCGGCACGACACATGTGGGGGCGGGTGGCCAGCACCGCGCCCAGCCGCCTTTGTCTCCCGAGGTGGCGATGCCGACACCGTCTGCTTCACGGCGGACTTTAAAGATCCACCAACGCCATTGGCAGGAGTAGGCAATCGTGTGGCGGGCGTCAGGGTTCCAACGTTGCCCCATCCCAAAGTCGCACCCCAAATCACTCGATGGGGGACTAACGCACACACACGCGGCAGCAAACATCACCCCCTACCGGCACACTAACGGCTCACGTCGCCATCGCAAATTAAGGCTGCTGCCACTGCACGTGGAACTTATTTCGCACCGTACGTAGCCCACCGTGCTAATCCGAGGTGCGTGTTCCACGAACAAAAGATCTGGCCACACCAAACTTCCCAGTGCAGGGGGCCCTCCGTGAACCGTGCCACCCGTCTTTGCCCACGTAGAGCTGGACGAACAGATGCAGCGTGCCGCCCGCCTGGAGGAGGAGCGACGCAAGGCCCTGCAGGAGGCAAAGAAGCTGGAGGACCAGAAGAGGGCGGCCGAGGAGGCCAGGGCCAGGCTGGAGCACGAGACTCACAACCAGAGGATGTCTCAGGAGCAGCTGGTGAGACGCGTTCAAGAGGTCGACTAGTCAGGGGCCCAGAGGGAGTTTGGGAGTGGGGGGGGGGTGTCTGACGTGAATTGTTTCCAAGAGGGATGTGTTCCCGATATTCTGATGAATCGGAAAAATGTCATTGTTTGAAAAAAAAACTAAAATAGTAGTTTTGGATTGATCACGAAATGTTTCGTGACTTGACCGGAAGTGACATCACTCCCATGATTTCATGTGCGCGCTTTTCCCGCCAAAGTTACCGTCACGCGATGTCGCTTTTGCTTAAATGATCAAACTATAAAATGTGTAGATTAAAAAAAGGTTTAATTTCAAAAGCTATTTACATATTTAAACGGATCATATTTCACAATGAAAGTTAATACAACTTTAAGAATTAAAATCTAAAAGTGTAACATCTTATCTGTGTATTGGGCCAAGAAAGTCAAACATTCAAGGTCTAAAAAAGTGACATCCAATATACATTCTGAGTTGACGGTGGTTTTTAGTTCCATTACCGATAGGAGTATGGGGAGTTTGCCTCCTCCCACTCCATTACAGATAAGAGAAATTTTACAGAACGAAAATTAAATTGACTTCACTCAACTACTGGCTACTGACTCGGTACCGAGTCTGCTCTTTTTGTGCTACGCACAAATCGTCAGGATTTCTGTCACTTTGTTGAAAGTAGAAAAAAAAAGACTCGGAAATATCACCTTTTTTTTTATCCCACGACACCCACGCAGTGGCTGTGCTCGTGCTGTTTAGCAACACTGCGCCGCTTACCCCACCACCGCACGCTTGCTAGAGAACATCACGCGCGGCGTCAGAAACGACGCGCTTCCGTGGAATTAATTAACTTATTCATCGATTTTTGTCGACTGCCTGGTTCGTCGCCTGATTGCATTGAGAGATTTGTTTGATTGATTTCGAGCGACTGTGGATTTGACCGATTGCAAAATCTTTACTCGGGGCGGCTCCGTTAATTTTCATGGAGCCTGGCTGGTGATGAGCGCTTGCATCGTGTTTTGTGCCTCGGTCCCAAACCGCTACTTATTTGTTGCAGATAGAATGCTAATTCGCCCGTGAAATTCAGCACACAAAATAATACCATTTCAGGTTCTAAGATCCATTGCATAGGCAAGACATTATCGCGAAAAGCGTATCACTCTGTGGTTTGTCACTGCGGAGGGCCGAAGGGCCCACGACCTCTCAGAGTATTGACCTCGTGTCTTCGCCCTCCTAAGTGCCCTCCATAAAGAGGTCACAAATCTGCAGACACGCCTCTGTGCACTTCAATTACTTAAGGATTCCTGAACCAAAAAATTAATATTTCTTGATTCGATTAATCCGTTTCGTGGTATGAATAAATAACGGCCATCTCGGTGAGCGGCTTGCAATTGGAAGGTTTCCAAGTTCAATTCCTGGTTGGGGTTGACTCAACCCATCATCTCTCCTGGGTCAAGAAAATAGGTACCGCTTTGTTGAAAATTCAGCAATGGTTGTTGTATGGACATACTTGACCCTTGTCATAGGAATGTGGAATTCGAGCGCTGTAAACGGGGTATGAGCACGTCTCAACGCTCATTTGAGCAGGACATCGCTTTTTTAACGTGATAGTTTTTATTGTAGAAGCGTGGGCGTGTGTTGCTGTGTGTGTGTCTGCAGGTCGTGTTGTTTAATTTATTATTTTAAAGTTATCCCTCGCTGCCATCAGAGATTAATTTAGATTGGGAATCAGTTATTTGGTAAATAAGCCAATTACATTTTGTAATTGCTGTAAGCAGTTAAAACAGAGATAACAAAACAAGATAAAAGCTCACAATATGGAACACCACATTATATATTTCGATTCTGCTTGTAGATTAAATACAATGTTTAGACTGGGAAATGTTGAGGTGCAAGCAAATTAAGGACCCAAGTAATTTAAACAATTCGATGCAACTGGGAGTATCGAATGCGAAGTAGTTCTTGAGTAAATTTCATGAACGGAGCTAAGTGGAAGGCCGCTATCGCTGGCGTCATTGAGAAAGGATGTGGCACAAGGAGAGAGATTCCTTTTTAAGCAACCACGGCTAATCTACAACTTTGATAATAATCCGTCAGCGGAAGATTGAGCGTTGTCTGTGTGTGTTCGTCTGTGAAGCGGGTGTGCGGGTTTGAGAGTGGGCACTGGTTGTAATGCGAACGGCCTCACGGTACGTAATGAGTGCGTGCGCGAGTGTTGCGTGCTTTCAAACAGCCTCTTGCCCCCTCTGCAGCCTTGATGGACCGATGGACATTTTCCCTTTCGTTTGCAGGCAATCGAGTTGGCTCAGTACACGCAGCAGATCTCCTTGCTTGAACAGGCCAAGCAGAACAAGGAGATGGAGGCCAAGGAGTGGCAACAGCAGGTACACGGCACACACAAACACACACCGAGCCAACAGCCAAGTCCACCCACCATGCTGAAAAACAGTGGTATAATCCGAATCGTATAAACCAGCGTATGTGCGGCAAAGCAGTGTATTGGATTTGGAGTGTACCATTATTTTTGTTTGTTATTGCAGGAGCGACAGGAATTCAATTGCGTCCGTAAATGATCGTTTGATTTGCTGTTATTTGACCCCTCGAGTCACCGCATTGCATTCCAAACTCAGTTCCGTGTTTATTGGCCCACAGGGCTTTGGACATAAGACAGCCCCCTTAAGCTTGTGCGATGGATGATGTATGAATGCAGAAATTGTGTTTAGCTATTCAACGATGATGACCACCGAATTTAAATCGGCTATTTAAATCGGCTAACTGTTGGTGAATGCCAACACTTGGACCCCCTGATTACACGTGACCTCTAGATGCCAATGAATGGGGAACACGCCAGATGGGGGTGGGGGGAGGGTCTATTAAATGATATATTGGGAATGCGGGCTATATAAATGATTGGTAGTGCTTTTGAATTGTAGCAAATTGTGCAATTCTCGTGTGTGCCTGAACGCCGTCTGTTAGCTAAAAACAATTGTTACGTTACAGCTGAGTAGGCCTTAGATTAAGCACATTTGGAAGTTGCACCATTACAATTTTGAAATATTCACGTTAAAATGAAAGAATGTTCTCATCCGAAGCACATTTAATCCTTGTTTTATTCTGGTTGAACCAACTTGGCCAAGGTCTTTGATTTGAATGAGTTCTGCTTTGTGGAGGTGGCTGGGTGAGAGGTCACAGACACTAAGCTGACAATGATTGAAATCATAGATTCAACTTCAGTCAACCTTAAATTTGTCAGGCTCCTCAAGTCTGTGGATTGTCTCATCCCAGTCACCGATGACTTCAAAACAATATCAGCCTTGTTTTTAAAGTTATGGAGGTGTGGCTCTGTGATTAGAGTACTTAACTTACAAATAGATCACATTACATTCCGATACATTCCAGCTCTCAGAATTAAAAACATCAGTTTGGCTGTCATGCTATGAACATTACCCAGGGCGAATGGGAAAGTGCTGTCCCCTATTGCACGAACCAGAGGTCAATTGAAGGGATCTCAGTAGTAGCTCTGTACTATCCACTTCCTTCTGCCATACAAAGGGTTGCACTGATCTGCGAGGTATCCAACCTAATGGTTGTCTCACGACACCGATAACACCCTCGCGATGAAACTGCTGGTAAAATAACGCCGTGCGTTTTTGTAACTTTCGTTTCGCTTTGACCATTCGTAGGCCGAGCTTGCTCAGGACAACCTCCTGAAAACCAGGAAGGAGCTTGACGAAGTGACGAGGGCCCCCAAGGTGGTGCCGCACAACAACTCGGCTCCCGCCCAGACCCTCATCCTCGTGGGCCAGCCCAACGTCCACTCGCCCGCTCCGCACGAGAAACAGTTCGGCTTCTCAGACCATGACATGATGTACGAAAACGCCCACGGCCGAAACGGAGGCTACGTGCAGCAGCACCAGCAGCAGCACCAGAATCAGATGCCTGGCCTGCCCAACCCACCGTCACCCTCCGACCTCTACGGGGACTACCAGGAGGACGGGGACGAGGGCAGTGCCGAGCTGCCCTCGTACGGCTACGGCTTCAACAACGACCGCAACGAGGAGAGGCGCGTCACCGAGATGATGAAGAACGAGCGCGTCAAGTTGCAGCTGCAGGTCCGTACAAAGACAAAGATTCCACCCCCCTGTGTAGCCTTCGACGAGCCGTTAAGGGAACAAGTGGTGTTTGCAAGTTGGGCGTCGTGGTGGCGAAATGTTAACTCTCTCGCCTGGTGTACAGGAAGTTGTGGGTTTGATCCCCATTTGTATATTTGGAGTTTGCGTGTCTCTCTCCTCGTGATCAAGTGGACTTTTCTCCGGGTCCTCCATTTTTCCTCTTCACATTGAGAATCAAAGTGTGTTTAGAGTATTTGGCTGCTGCTATCAATGTCCCACGTGACAAGCCACTTCGTTGAGCCATCAGTTGTAGCCAGGTCGCTTCCTAAAAAGAGCTGTATAGCTCAACGGACCTTACCTGGTAAAATAAAAATAAATGTTGAAAATGGTTAGTTTAAGCTGAACAGAGGTGCCCTGTTGGAGAGATTGGAAATGGCCAGACAAAGTTGGGCTAATGACAGCGTTCCGCTTTGATGGAGAATGATAGCAGAAGAGATGGGGGCAGGTGTGCAGATTTTTTAAATGACTGAAGCATGGTATTTCAATTACCAGCTCCACTTGGTATATGCACATCTATACGTGCTGTAAATGTGCTGAATATGTATTGGCATGTTGCCTTAAGGACGGCGGAGTGTATATTTACTTTTGAAGTGATATTTACACGCCTCTTCAGCAGTCACGCCGGTAACAGAAAACGATGTTGCGTAAATATCGGTGACGGCTACATTAGGTTGAATAGAAGCCGAATAAATTATCGCAAAATTGACAGGCCTTCCCCACAAGGGCAACCACTTTTTTTTACTTCAACGTACTCTGGCACACAGATCTCATAAATTATTTAGTGCTTGCCTGTCTGCGAGCGTGCCTGCGGGTGTGGCGCCCTTGACCTGTGTGATTAAATTTTTTTGTTATTCTGTTTGTGCGTGCGTGCGTGCGTGGCTGACCTCAGGCACTCAATGACGAGTTGGCCAAGGCACGGGACGAGACGAAAAAGAATCAGATGGACATCCTCCACAGCGAGAACGTGAAGGCGGGCCGCGATAAGTACAAGACCCTCCGGCAGATCCGCCAGGGCAACACGAAGCAGCGCATCGACGAGTTCGAGGCCATGTGACGGGATTTCACGAACACAAAACGATTGCACAGCCCACACGAGCACCAACGTGGGAACACGCGCGCATCGCCAATGCACCGTGACGGTGTGAGCACTCAAATTCATTACACACGCCGGTTGATTCAGATACTCGCATGCACGTCCGCTAAAATGACACTTGTCCTGGTCTCTTACGTTCACACCGGGTGAAACAAAACAGGGGGCACGAACAGGGCTAAGCAGCTAATACAGTGCTTGCGACGCGGACGCATTTATATATTGTGTACATGCAAATTGTATTGTAATGCAATCTGGGGTAGTCGTGGGGGTAGAGGAGGCACCTATGTACTCGGTGTGAAACTTCCTGAACCTTTTCCCGTTTCGATAATGTACCTGTACGTCATCAGTTTTTCTTCCGGCTCTGTTCCAATAACGTTTGCAATGATGTACGTGAACGGAACAGGAAGAAAAAATCTAATAACGTAACTTTATCGGTACCGAGGCTCCCACAAGGCCATGCGGGGAGGGTGTGTAGCACTGTTTGGCGCAAGCTTTCGTAGAGTGCGGTCGTGTCGCTACGGTTCTCTGCGGTGAGTAACAATGTGTTTTAAAAACAACGGCGCTACCCCTCTCAATAAAATGAACAGTGAACCGCTTGCGCGTTCTGAGATTCGGGTAGGGACATCTCGGAACAGGAAAGGGTTAGGTGGGGGAAGTCTTTAACAGCAGACATTGGTGATGTTGTCAGCTGTGTGCCTGCAGAAAGATCTTGAAGGGGGAAGGAAGTGATGGAGACATTTGGTAGCCCTCAGCCACACTGTGACCCCTTGATGACCTTTTTAGATTTCACTATAGTGCCTTCCCATCCTTCGTGGTAGCATGTTTTCTCCTGCTGCAGAGATTCACGGTTCGAATTCAGCGGGCTGCCCTGGATATTACTGCAAGTGTATAAACCGTACTACCTGTCGTCTGCTTCACAGTGGACTTGTAATTCGCAAGACTAGGCCATCGTGTACCGGCGTCGTTGTCAAACATTGGTCACTTGTTTATTTTAACCTTCAAATTACTCAATTAGTGACTATCCATAGCAATCATTGCTCACCCTACTGCGAACAATGTGGCAGTACCCTCTTGAACTATAGTCATGAGACTCGGAGAGGCTTTTCTGGGTTAAACAAGCGTAATAATAATATAAATACACCAAGAGGAGATTTTTCTGAATTGGGGGGGGGGCAGTTTAAGTTGGGCGGGGGGTACTGATGTTCATTTTAGAGAGGAGGCATGTGAGGCCCCCCCCCATTAGAATCGCCACTCGCGCTAAATTGCATCACGCAGGTTCCCACGCGCGCTTGCACGAGCAATCGCGCTGCTGCACAATGCGAAACAGTGCGAGTGTTTACGCTTTGCTCCCGTCCATGTAATCTGAGCAGTGAATTTATGAGAGTGGGCTAGCAGGGGCATATGTTTGCGCGTGCACCACGTTGTGTTGTGCCTGTGCAAATACCGTTCGGCTAAGAAGAAGCAAGGTTGAAAATTGTCCGATGCATCAATTGCATTGCATGCATGCATGCGATATCGCTGTGCCTGCATACACACACCACCAATGGCCTTTCAAGTAACCAAAAATTATGAACATTGTATGCAATTTGTCCTATTTGGTTGTAATATTTATATGTTCGTTTGGGTTTTACGGTGTATAATAGTTCACATTAAGAAATGTGTTTTTTTTAAATATAGCTTTTATATATGTTTCTGTTGGTTTAGTAGAATTAAGGGCTTTCAAATGGTTTCATTTCCTATTCGGGTCTAGCCATTAATATAAATCTTCCACTAAACGTAAGATAATTATTATATCCAGACTCAGTACAATATATAGCATTGGGTAAATGTGTACATACACAGCATGCATGTACATTATAACTGTGTCTGTGCTTGCCTATATATGTGAGGAGCAGTCAAAAAGATGTTTAAAATCAAACCCCTAAAATAAAGTTGCAATTACCTAATGATAAGCTTATGTTAATACTCACGTTTGTATGTTATGGTATAACTTAAGTGAATATGTTTTGACTTTCTCGTGTTACACACACATTTATGTACCCTAACTCCAAGACTTTAATAATAAAGGGCTTCTCAGGCCATGTCGGATAAGGCAGTTGTTTTACCATACTTCACCATCCTGGACAGCGCAGATTGGGGCAACCCAAAACCTATTCACGTATCATTCACCACGTATTAGTTGTGGCCAGGAATCGAACTCGGGTCGCTGGGTTCATAGTGCAGTGGTGCGCTAACCACTGAGCCATCACTCCACCAACATACCCTTTGTGTGCTATTGCCCAGATAATCTGCTTCTAATATTTGATGAATTACTTTAAAAAACACATTAAAAATATTTTAAATATTTGCTAACATTTGTGGGAGCTAATGGGTTTAATCAACGATATATTTCTGTTTTTTATTGTAAAATTTAATATTTTACAAATAACTTGATGATTAAGACCATTTTATTTTAATTATACGATGGTTTTTATGCAAATATATGATACTGTTAAAGTAACATTGATGATGATGATGTTGGCAATGAGTTGAACAATGAGATCATCCGAGGTCCCAACGGTCTTAGCACCCCTCTACGAGTCTGACAGACACAATCCATATTTCATGACTGTCAACTACAAGAATGTTACAATGATGACGTGCCTACTTGCACACGGGGGTGTTTGTAGTATCGCCATGTCTCCTTAAGAGATAGCAGTGACATTCTTGCCCCTAGCAAGTGTAATGTGATCAGCACACCCTATTGACCAATGCCAAACAGCGCATGTATCATTTATTCCCAAACCTTGTCAAAAGGCTGCCAAAAACAGTGTAAATGTTTAATGCTTTGATTTGGTTTTTACTACTTTTTACGTGCATTCAATCGTCTATGACATGTACCGTCGTATTTCATCAATAAATGATGGCTTGGCATGCATATAATTACGAGTGGCACTAATGCTTTGTCGTTGCAAAGAGGGGGAGTTTGTTATTTTGCTACTGCTGTGATTTCGCGGCCAGACGGGCTAAAACACAATGCAGACCTCTGGAAGAGAACGTTGCAGGAGGTAAGCGTTTGTAGATATGATTAGGTGAGAAGTAATACACTGTGTAGCAAATACGTGCAGGCTCGAGCAGGGCTGATTACACTGGTCAACACACTTTTTCTGGCATAAGGTATTCCAACGGTTTTAAGGTCATTTTGGGGTGCTAATTCAAAATCTGGCATCAGTTTTTGTCTATCACATCAGGTTTTTGAGATATCAAATATTGCATTTTCAATAAAAACTACAGAAGAAAAATATTAAATAAATGTGGATATCTACATAAAATTATATAAACACAATATCCTAAAAATACATCACCATATTTTAACACTAAAGCAGTCACTGACTCGCAACAACTTGCAATCATAAGTGACAGAGTTAATTTCGGGTAGCATAAAAATGATGTGATAGAGCAAATCTGAGATCAGATTTGAAATCAGCACCCTGAAATTAGTCTAAAACAGCTGCAAAAGTCCAGGCCACAAATTTTTTTATTGTTTTTGTTGACCAGTGTTATTAAGACAGGTATTTGAGTCTTCTCTTCGAGTGCGGCTACCTCGGAGCAGACGTGTCTATATATCTAAAATTATGTGTGTATATGTGCGCAAACGTGTTTTTGAATCGAGGTATAATTAAACCATAACAGTTAACGGTATTGTCTTGAAATGGCACATTTTGCAAATACCTCAATTTTATCTCCCCGGTTTTCCGTGTTAGGGGCCGTCCATAAATGACGTCACGCGATTTTGGACGATTTTTGACCCCCCCCCCCCCTCGTCACACGGCGTCACAAAAAGTCAGACCCCTCTCAAATATGACGTCACAAAACTCTGCCCCCCTCCCCCCCCCCAAAAAAAAACATGCTTCAAATCGCTTTAAACTATTGTCATTGTAGTGCGTATTTAATGTAGCGCTGCACTCTGATGTTGTAGGAGAAAACATTTATTAAAAAGTATATTTAATTAAGTAGAACGTGTTGTCTATATCTATTAAAAGTTGCGCATTTTGATGTGACGTCACATTTCTTACCCCCCCCCCCCTCGTCACACATCGTCACAAATGTCTGACCCCCCCCCCCTAGGTTCGTGAGGTCATTTATGGACGGCCCCTTAGCATATATACCAATCTACTAATTATTTAGTGCATTACACACTGTTGATTGGCAGGTCATTTGCCTGCTAGCAACAACGGTAATTTACATGCCTGCCAAAAGATGGGATGGGAAAAGTGCGACATTTCTACCTCGTACAAAACAGGACATCACAATGAGCCTGGTGTTTTTTGCCTTTAATGAATAAGGGCGGGGGGGGGGGGCTCTCTTCCCTGTGCATCCTCTAACCTTTGGACAGCCCTGGTCGTTTCTGAATTACCTTTATCAGTGTGTAATGCGACTGGGTTGCACAAGCAGGCCTGTGACATTACATCTCGGGGGTGTGCGTGCGTGCTGTGAATGCGGTGGTTCGTGCCGAATGCTACCACCGGACGCGTGTAATTTTTGGCAAGTTTACAAATGCACATGAGGATTTAATCTAATCCTGACCCACAGCAGGAAAATGAGTGCACCGCACCATATGTTTATGCGTTGGCTTTAAGCTTCGTGCGTTCAAGTTCGCTTGCCCCTTCGGGGCCGTCCATAAATGACGTCACGCGATTTTGGACGATTTTTGACACCCCCCCCCCCTCGTCACACGGCGTCACAAAAAGTCAGACCCCCCCTAAAATATGACGTCACAAAGCTCTGCCCCCCCCCCAAATAAAACATGCTTCAAATCGCTTTAAACTATTGTCATTGTAGTGCGTATTTAATGTGGCGCTGCCCTCTGATGTTTACCCCCCCCCCCCTCGTCACACATTGTCACAAATATCTGACCCCCCCCCCAGGTGCGTGACGTCATTTATGGACGGCCCCTTCAACATTCTTCTCCCGAAACTGGACCGCTCTATTGTTGAATTTTAAGGCCGAAGCTGTCCCGTAATTCTCTGTTTGGGTGCGTGTGTGGAAGGCGCAAGGCAATAACCTTAAACACTATCAGCTGGAGTACACCACGGATCCAGAGATATTGGCCATTGCTCTTCTTTTAAGAGATATTCACCATAAAGAGAAAGAGGCTATTAGATTATTTTTTGCAACTCACCCCCCCCCCCCATCAAATATTGATTTCCCCCGTACAGTAGTAGGTGGAGCAAATGATGATTTGTGTGCGCGCACCTCCCATAAACTGGATTAGCAGAAAATATACGATAACTGACTTGCATACATGATGTATGCATGTTGAACTTCTTTCGCACCGTTATGGCAATCCTGTGAAGATGGTTATCGGGTCTTGTCAATAGAGTTCGGGGACTTTAACCTGAAGCAACTGCGATTCTGTGAATAAATTACAGCAATGAACTTGACCACATTTAGAATTACAATACAACGGTTTAACACACCAATGAAGGCATGCATTATGTAGCTAAGTAAATTAATTAATATTAATTAATACTTCGGCACGTGAATGTATGCAAAATATATTTATAATAATAATGCAATTTAAAACTGGCGTAAATTTGCGGACGTAACGGCCGCAACTCAGAGGCGCGGAGCCAAGCTCAGAGTCGCTCGAAAGCACGTGGTTATAGAGGTGAGTTTTTAAGTCTCTCTTGAAGGAGGCGATTGAGGTGATGCTGCGAATGTGCAGAGGGATATCGTTCCAGACTGTTGGGGCTGCCACCGAGAAGCGGCGCATAGACATGACCATCCTGGATCTTGGTATCAAGAGGAGGTCGTGAGTCGCGCTGCGCAGGCATCTGCCGTGTGCTGCACTGCAAGTTGTTAATAACGAAGAGAGGTACGGCGGGCAGGCAGATGTGAAGACATTGTGGCAGAGGCAGGCGATCTTGTATATGATCCTACTGGAGATGGGTAGCCAGTTGAGGGCACGGAGACAGGCGAGTGAGTCGAGACGGGGATGAGTGTGGCCAATGACGCGTGCTCGGTTGTTTTGTAGTCTTTGAAGTTTTTTTAGGTTAAAGGTAAATGTGCAGCTTTACAATTGCTTGCTCATGCCACCACTTTTGGTAGAAGGGCCTTGCCTTGAGCGAGATCTATTGAGCCCATCTAGAGAGCAGGCTGGATATATTAAATTAAACTGTTTATTTAGCTATATCGCTCTTTTTCAGAAGTGACCTGGCCACAGATGATAGCTGAACGAAGTGGCTTATCATGTAGAAATGTATAGCAGCCCGATACTATAAAACATGCTTCAAAATGTGGAGGGAAAAACCGGGGAACCCAGAGAAAAATCCACGCGACCATGGGGCGAACATGCAAACTCCAAATATACAGGCATCAGGGTCAGGGTTGGGATTGAACCCACGACCTCCTGTATACCAGGTGAGGTAATTAACATCTCGCCACTGCGGCGCCTATCTTGGTAGAGGTGAGGATTACCCACGCTTTACCCCACCACACGCGGCCTGCCGATCGACTAACTGTTGGTCATAAGAACTCTTTTTGGGTTAGATCGCGTTATTTATAAATGTGTCGTAACCCTCCACCACTCGACACGGCCAATCAGCAAAAAAGTATCACATTGACAAAAGACAAATAGTTCACTACTTTACCCCACCGGTGTGTTGAAGAGTGAATCCACAACATTTACAATTTACAATTCCGATGCCTGATGATGCTGGATGTAATTACCAGCGAAACGTCGTACTAAAAAAAACTGTAAATGTTGTGGATCCACTCTTGAACACACCGGTGGGCTAAAGCAGTGAACTATTTGTCTTTTGTCAACGTGACACTTTTTTGCTGATTTGCCGTGTCGGGTGGTGGAGGGTTACGACACATTTATAAATAACGCGATCTAACCCAAAAACGTTTATTATGAATAATATTGGTCGCGAAAGTCTACGTGTTAAACTGTTGGTCATAAGGATTAGTCTATACTTCACAATGCTGGCCAGAGTGGATTGGTGAAAGAATTGAACTGAGGTAGCTGAGTTTATAGCGGGCATAGCACTATCCATTACGCTACCAGACCAATGCTGTACAGTACGTGACGAGTGGTTGAAAAACAATTCTGTGGGTACATTCTGTGAGCGTAATGAAAGGTTAGAGACAAGTCTTTGAAGGATGGCACTTTAATTATTCATGACATGCAGTAACACCCACACATGTACACACACATTCAAAAGTATGCACACATTGTAGCAAGAACGGATAACTACGTCTTAAATGCAATTAGCTCTCAATTTCAACCATGGATCTGTGTTTGAGAGTTGGGCAAATTGAAAATCCGTCTATTAATTCCGTTATACTTTCTAACATTAAGCAATACATTGGATAGTTCAATTGATTAGCACTGTGCAGTTACTGTAGTGGCAGCTAATGAAACGGTGTTAAATCAATGCATTTTTTCATTCATTTATGTATACATACAATTAGAAACACATGATAGATCGTTTCATTATTTTTTCATTCATCCAGTTTTTGGGTAATTCTATTATTTACTTGTCATTCGTGCAATTAACGATGTCTTATAAATGTGCTTAATCTTTCACGAATGTATTTTGTTCAAGCCACTTGAACCATTCAGAAATGACACTGCAATTTTACACACAAACATGGCCAAACGGAGGTAACAACTTCTGAAACAAATCTTACATGCGCAACGATTGGGTGATGCGTTCCAAACGCATTTGTCATTGGAAGCATTTCATTCGCATTACGCAAGCAGTCAGGGGCAAACCCGTTTGAAAAAAGCTTCACATTTCATCGGATTCATCCAGTCTAAATGAAGATTATGATATTTGAACACAGCCCTCTTTGCTCTGGTTCATGTCCACAAATTTGGGGCAACCGTTTGATCAATATGACCGGTTTTCAATGGGGTAAGTCCCTAATAGCGACACAACTTCATACGATAGTTGGGTGCATATTGGACCATCATGAAGAGAGTTATTGTGTCCTCCGTTACAGATGGATGGAGCAAGGTGATGCAGAAACGATTTCAACCTTGGTTGCAAAATGTTAAAGGCTCCACATCATTTCCTCCCAGGAGTTATTTTTGCGAGTGTCCACGGTGTCATTTAGACGAATGTGTCCTCTTTCAAAGAGTATGCAGCGGCAGGCGCTCGAGCAAACTTTGCATGCATGGCTTGGCGACAATGAGGGAGACGATGACTGCGATTGCTGAATGAGTGCCTTATAAGTAAATGTCACTGAATGGTTAATGGTGTAGGTATGTGGCAGTGTGCAATGATAATCATGACTGATTGGATGTGTAAAAGTGTGATACATGACGGTGCTGATTACGGCATTTGGTCACCTTTTCAGTTGCTACAAAATGAATGATGTCGTAACGATGATTCATTCTATGGGCATTTGATCGTAGAAAAGATAATAACGGCGATGTTAATGGTTATGGAAATCCTGTACTTACAAAAAAAATATTCACAATTACGAATGAACGCATTTAAATAAATTTTTCATTAGAAATTATTTGGATGATTAAATTAAATATCCTTCTCACGGATTTTAGTTTTTACAAGAAGTATAATTGATTGCACTGCCAAATAATGAATGGCTGGATTAAGAAAAGATACAATCAATGCTAGCATAATGTAACATCCTTTAATAAACGTCCACAATTATGATACTTAATACGCGAATGAATTAAACGTCCCTCGTAATTATCACAAAGTGCATGATTCTTATGAATCGTGGAACATTTGAACTACTTGGTTAATTAATGACTGAACGACTTAATAGTTACGGTGTTAAAACCGACAGCATGTAAATCCATGAATTAATATGTGACTAAATGCATGTTATTATTAAATAACTTAAGTAACGACTGAAAAAGGCTGAAAAACGAAAAACGCCACACAATATATAACAAATGTTACTAATTACGTGAATAAATAATTTACTGACTAAATCCATCAGCGACTGATTGCATCAATTAAAACACTCCTTTATAACTGCCACGAAATGCATGATACCAGTGAAAGAACCATTGAATGAATTGCTAAATTTAAACGTGAACAAAGAAATCAATAAATTATCAAAATACCAAATAATGACTTGATTGAAACGTTGGTTTTCGTGACCAAATATGGCTGCCGCCTGATGATGCTGGTTGTAATTACTGGCGAAACACCGTAATTTAATTGTAAATACTCTTTGGTTCTTTCGGTAAAGTCACGTAGGTAGAAAATAATAGATCACGACGTTTCGATCGCAACACAAGCAACCGTCAGCAGTTTCCCTGCTGTGATTGTCCCACCTGATGATGGTCGCTTGTGTTGCGATCGAAACGTCGTGATCTATTATTTTCTACCGACGTGACTTTACCGAAAGAACCAAAGAGTATGGATTCCTGTAGTCACGAAAGCTTCAAATCAAGATTGAATTGTAAATGTTGAGGGTTTACTCTTCAACACAGCGGTGTGCTGAACTAGTAACGAATTGTCACGTTTAGTTTATGTAACAAACCTTGCTAATTGGTTGTGTAGGGTGGTGGCGGGTTTAATGACACATTTTTTTTAATATAGATTTGAAGCTTTCGTGATTCCAAGGATCCATACGCTTAGATTTTTTCGGTAAAGTCACGTAGGTAAAAAATAATAGAAATAAAATAATATAAAATGAAAATAAATCAATTAATTTAATTGATTTAATTGATTTATTTTCATTTATTATTATTAGGTAAAAAATAATAGAAATAAAATAATATAAAATGAAAATAAATCAATTAATTTAATTGATTTAATTGATTTATTTTCATTTATTATTATTTTATTTCTATTATTTTTTACCTAAGTGACTTTACCGAAAAAACCCAAGAGTATTAATGACACATTTATATTTACGCAATCTAACCCAAAAACCGGTATTTATTAATACCTTGACAAATTGATTGCACATATCAATAACTTTTAATTAATACATACATTAATGGAACACAATTCATAACAACTTTCAATCATCACATGAAAGTTCCACGAATGTTTAAATTACTTAAGGTGAATAAACGAGATACCAAATGACGGAATAACTGAATGACCGAAGGGCTGAACAGATTAATGAATGACCGAATGAAGGACTGGAAAAACAAAAAACCCGAACCAATTAACCCACCAATTAACACCCTCGGCTGATAGAATGAAGAAGTCGTCAATGACAAACCGCGTGGGCCAATGGGGAGGGCCCGTGTCGGTCACGTGCCCCCCCCCCCCCTGTACACCACGAGGGGGGAGAGGGAGGAGGTAGAGGAAGCCCCTAAAGCCGTCTTCGCCGGCTACAACAGCGACGCTCTCCCGCGTACCCCCCCCCGCCTCGTCATTACCGTCCTCCCCTCCCGTCTCCTTTCCACCCCGCGTAAGCCTCGGGACGTTGGTGGAACGTATGCGCCATCGCGCCACGTTGAGTGCAACTCGCTGCGAGGTAAAGCGGAACTTTTGTGGCGTGCGGCCTTGCACGGGGCGCAGGTTGTGACGGGCCTCGGATAGATTCCCCCGCCGGGCAATGTGCGTCCTGGTCCGGCCGCCGAGCACCCCCCACGAGGGGTGGTGTTGCCAATCGCCCTGGTGGTCGCGCCTTTGTGATAATCTTTGTGTTCTGTCGGCTGCTATGCGAAGTAATTAATACGAGCGAATTAAGCTCGTATCGGGTACGGTTAATTGCGGGTTTCACAGAAAACTGGTGCCGTTTAAGAGCCCTTGTTACTTTTTTTTTCGATGCTGTATGCAGTGACAGGCGAGCTGAACCACGGGTCCACCGGTTTAACGCCCTCATGAGTCCTGTTGGTTGTGATTGGCTCCAGAGTAAGGGTTATATATGTTTGTACGACTTGTGTACAGTTCGTGAGTTTTCTTAATAGTGATGTCACTTCTATTTCAATACTGTATATGCTTTCATTAGGAGTTATTCAGTCAAATTTAAGGACTCAAAGTCAAGTCATTCGGAATGTTTTACTGCTCAAATGAGCAGTCCTCAACTCTGTTGGATACCCAAAGCGTCATGGTGGAAATTCCACATTCACACGGCATTAATCGGTCTATCAATAGGACAAACAATGTGGTCGTCTTAGCCACATTGGAGCGGTGGCGCAGTGGGTTGCGCATTGCGCTCTGAACCACGAGGACAACAACGCCGTCAATGGCGAGTGACGACATATGAGCCAGTCCACTGACCGGCGTGAAGTACTTTAGTCGAACAACACCAACCAACCACGCCAGGCATGGAGCAGTGGATTGGTAGAAACATGGCTGAAGAATAGCACCCAAATTGACTTTTCATTTTAAACTTTAATGTAATTTTGGGAGAAATGTGGCTATGCAGTAATCACCACGCCCCAATAATTGCATTTTATATTTTACTTTGATAAAATTAAAGAAGGTCATGTTAGTTATGTAGAGATGCATACTTGGAATCGTCCTAAGATAATGAACACTTGCTTCAGTGAACACACACAGATCAGACATCTTCTTTAAGTAAAGTGGGTATGGCAGAACACATCACTGTAAATGGTGGTGGCTGACAGATAAGAGTAATGATGGGATGGCAACTGAAGAAGAGGATGCACCTCAGAAGGAGGCTGTCGCAGAGATGGATCAATGAGATCAGTAAATGTGCAGGAGTAAGATGGATTGTATCATCACGGGACTTTCAAGGATTGCAGTGTAAAACATTACTTTGAGACCAATTTGTCGAGTCGTGCATGATAAGTGAAGTACGTAGTCTGTCTATGAACGGATTCTGTAAGCTCATGACTCCCATTAGTTCATGTCCTGGGGTAAGTCACTGAATCACCTTCACAGCCAGACTACCGCTACACAAAAGGGCTAAATCAAAATAGAACATTGCACTCAATAGGAAAGCGAATGATGCTCTCATAGGGAATTTCATGTTCAGAAACTTGTAAGATTCGTTGCTCATTTGTGGAATTGAGTTGTACATTTGCATGTGTAGAAACGTTTCTTTACTCGTGTGCAATGAATTAGTCTGCTTCCCTTTAGAATGTTGCATAAGACATGAGAATCAACTCCATACCCTTTTGACGAAAAATGGTACGGATTTTAACAAAGCGAACGCTACTTGGCCACTGAGGTTTCATGGGTTATATACTATAGTTTATTTATATCTAGCCCTTGTGATTCACCAAATGTATTGCCTTCATCGAGAAATTAAGTACTAACAATTTGAAATTAAGAGGTACGTTATGTTTTCAGTGATGTGCCGATTCATCTTCATGGGGAAGACAGGCTGACAATTTTCTATCATCAATTACTTTTGCTAAATTGCTTGGCCTGGACATGACCAACACCGCTTAGCTCAGTTGCTGGTATCCGGCCAGTACTTGGTAATACTTTACAACGGCAGCCAGGGATTAGACACATGAACATACATGCGAATAGTGAGTATCACTATTTATCAATTGTAATCTTCATCAACCATCGTATTTCCCTGCTGGACGAAGGCTTCCTCCCTATGTCATTGCCATGTCTCACTGCACCGATCTTCCACAATCCATCTCGCTCCTGCACATGAACTGATCTTATCACTCCCATTTCCACTGTGGTTATCGTCTTGAGCACGTTTTCACCTTACCTTTGCCTTTCTGTCTCTAGTCTTGTTCATCAATCAGCCATCGTCTCTTCTCGCGATGAATCGTGCTCAGGCCCATATTGTTAGCAGTCGTGGTGTCTGATTTGCGTTTGCATTAATTCCGTGCTTCTCCAACTCCACGCATCTGCTGCACAATTCTTTGTGCCCTTTTTCAGCTTTTGTTCCCTTTTCTTTGTCAATGGCCATGTTTCAGGGCCATAAGTCAGAATGCAATGATAGACGATTTTCTTGTTAAGACACATCAGTGTGCTCTATTCATGAAGCTAACGTTTACAATCCAATTTAAATAACATAGGAATGTATACTGTGCCAGTGCATAACGTACAGTACTGTATCTCAAGATAGTACACGAAGATTCGGCTTTCCAAAATCTCTCAATCTTGCACTTGTTTGCCTCTATTTAATAACTCCGATCCCAGTTCATCTTTAGTAGTTGCCCTCTAATTTTTTTTTCATATATTCATAATCACCGCCATTAAGTCGACATTGTTAATTCAACTTTTCACATCAGCAATGCAATTTTCACCACGTACATTAACTTCCGTTACATATTTGGTTTGTTTATAGAAAGGTAGATATGCGGTGACTACTTAGGTCTATCATCGTTATAGTTCTCTTAATTGATTCACTTAGGGCTTTCCATTATGAATTCAAGTGCGGCAGTATGTTTAAAGGGTCATATATGTTGCTGATGCTTTGAGAAAATTAACTTGCACAGCATGTTTTCTCTCGCGTCTTTCCAATTCTCTTCATTGGCTCTCTGAAACTAGTCCACTTGAACATTTATGATCTTTATCGAAGAGCAATTTAACTTGCACTAGTTGGCTTTAGTTTTCCCCACCCCACTCCCGTATAGAGTATATTAAAATCAACTTTCTAAGGGCAGTGTTTGGAGACTTGCAGCTTTCGGTACCAACAGCCGACTTGTACACGGCCACCTTCGGATCATAGATTTAAGTTTGCTGTTGTCTGCTTGTTTTTTATTTACTGAAAACCTTTATAGGGGAGATAAATACAAGTCTACTTATGTTTTGAGGACTATTCACAGCTTAGCTTCCTTTGCCATCGGTGTTGTTCAAGCGAAGCATTTAATTCTCACACTTTTACATAAGCAAGGCAGTATACATTTTTATCTGGTTTATTTTTAAAGTTGTTTGGTTGCGGAAGTGCTATACGTCACGTACTCCAGACCATTTCTAATATTAGCTTAGCACGCACTCGTAAATTAAGTGTCAACGGGGTTATACCTCCCCACCTCTCATGTTAAAGCGAGTGTGGATCAGAGCGCATCTCCATTGGCAGTCCCAAGGCAGTGGAGGATATTCCACACTCCTATGCTGGGGCCAGCCTCTTTATAGAACAACTTCAAAGTGATACGTCATTTAATACAATAACAGGTTATTTGTGTGGGCAGGGTGTGTCACTAATATTAAATCCGAGGTTGCGACATACCGATGAATCACCATCACTCACGTGCTTGACTTGGTTCGGACTGGTTATAGTATTCACACGCTACCCTCTGAACAAAATGTCCTGTGACCATGAGAGGCTGAGCTAGTAACCTCTTGCCAAGCGTCACACTTTATTATTTGTTACCCTCCTTCATACGGTGTGAGCACGTGTTGTAGTGTGTGTTGTAGTGAGTGGGGAACGGGAGTCGTGGAGCCGTTCGCGCTGCGCTACGAACCGGGCGACCCGAGTTCGATTCCCGCTCACGGCCATCACCGGTGACGATTATCTGAACCGATCCTGGGCCTCCCCTATGTCGACTCAGCCTCAAATGAGTACCTGGTGCGGTGTGTAAAACATCGCTACTGGAGAGACAAAGGCGGCCGGGGGTGGTTTTGGCCACCCAAGCCCTCTCGTGTGCCGTGCCGGCCTTTAAAGGTGCTCGCTACGAACAGCACTTGCCCAACAGTCTGCCAGGGCTATACGGGGGATCTTTGTCTTTGTGTTGAAGCGGTTAGCGCTCCGAACCGGGCAAGCCACGAGTTCGGTTTGAGCACATGGCCAGCATCAGCTGCGAGATTGTGTGAACTGCTCTTGAACCTGCTCTCGGTCGACTTGGCCTCGTATGGGTGTGACTGGAGCGGTGTGTAAACATCGGTAAAGTCCTGGGGAAATGCCGGGGGTGTGATGCTGATCACACAGCCTTAATAGCTGCTCACTAACAACACTTGCTCCGACAGCTTGTTAAAGTTTAACACGTAGGATTACGCGATCAATATCATCCATAATACAGGGGTTTTTTGGGGGGGGGGTAGATCGCGTAAATATCTAAATGTGTAATGACACATTTATATATTTGTGTAATGACACTATTATATATGTCCGCGATCTAACCAGAAACGCTTGTTAAAGGCAATTCGGGGAGGTATTTTTGTGTACGCATTGTAGGCTGATAACTTGACCGAGACAATGCCGAGTTAAGGATTAATGAAGCAGATGCATGAGTATTGATTTTCGCTAAGAATGTAACATTTCAACTCCTCCCATGAGTCATTGAATGTTCATGATTTGGGTTCGTTGCTTGAGTCACAAATTGAAAAGGTGTGTTTTAGTGTTGGGCGAGTGGGGTGCATGTAAGATGTAGAGGCAGCAGGGTTTATATGAACCGATGGCATGAAATATATATAAGAATACAAAATAATTGATTCTTGCACGCACTATTCAGTGTTAGTATGTGTTATGAGTGCTCGAATTGATTTTAGTTGAGTAATTATAATTAGACAAGTTATGGCAGGCTTATGTAAAGAAGACATTTTAAGTGATCTTATGCATATTAGATGTACATAACAGTACAAACCATGTACGTA